TAAGTTCCTTACCATCTTTTTCGGCGAGTTGTTTGGCACGAATTGCGGCGCTCATGCCAGCTGGACCACCTCCTACAATCAAGATGTCTGTTTCGTCGGTAAAACGTTCCATGTTTACTTCTAAAAACAGAAACAAATGAAATTTATTTAATAAATGCATACTTTAGTTGGTTAATAATCTTATTTTTTATGTTTCATGTTTTCATGGTTTCCCGTCAATTGAGATTAAATGTAGAACAGACGGCAAAAACACTTCAGGAAGAAAATTCATTTACATTTACGGAAAAAACATCTAGAGGCTAACAGGGAAACTGAAATTTAGGAAAAAGGAATTTAGGAATATTTCTATAAAATTTTGAAAATTACATGAAACACTGTGAGTTTTAAAGGACATATAAGCAATAAAACATGGCTGCTCTATTTATGAATATAAAGAAATAGAAATCAAGGGAAAGCAAGTTTTTTTTCTGGAAACTGTCAGTTCTTTAGTAGTCGTACCGCAGCTAATTGTCTTATTATACTCTTCTATTAACATATCAGTCCTTGGTACCTCAGCAGACCCGTTGTATATAAAAGAATTTACGATTAATTAATTAATTAATATATACGATTTTATTAACATCTAATTTATTGTCTTTATTATGTAATTTATGTACACTTATTTACGAACCCTTATCACTAAAGACGAGAATGCAACTACTTTAATTTATATTATTTATTTACAACAACCATTTATTTGAGACTTATAATAACGATTTTATAACATTGACTGCCTGAATCTCAATTATTTCTGTATTTATATTAAGTTATGTTAACCTAGTGTTCCCTAGATTTAGCTAGAAGGATAGGATCCGGTTTTTTACCTTTGATTGTCGCTTCTCGATTCATTGGAACCAGTTTACTTGTTTGCTGATGACCTTTCGCGAACCATTGAGAATGAGGTGGAAGTCAAACAGGGTAATAACAGCCAATCATCCACAACTAGATTACTGGTCTAGATTAGTAATTTTAACAGTTATAGTTAGGAATCTGTAGCATAACAATATATTGTGTGTATGTGTATTTGGTGATTATTGGCTTCCCAAAGCAATGGCCATTCACCATATTTCCTTTATGGGATTATTTTTATATTTTTTATGCAGAAGTTCTAAAAGAGGACCTCTTAGTGACACCTTCTCGTTTGTTATGTTGGTATATAATTGTATTCCTGTTCTGATTTAACAATGGTAAATAATTAGTTTTTAGATATGCTTAGGCATGTGTTGCTGAGAGAGGTCCATTTGGTTGAAGGTCAGTTATGGAATGAGAAGGAATTTGAGCCTCATACGAAGTTGGTTTTTATCAAGAATGGGACATTGATTGCACTTAGGTACCTGACACAGATTCTAGAAGACTTTAGTTTGCTGTTTATGGTTATTCTTGGAGACTACCCAACATTTGTGCATGACAATGCATGGCCCCACACTGCTCGGATAGTTACTGCATACCTTGACGAGACTCAAATCACACGATTTGTTTGGTCTTATCACAGTCCAGATATCAATCCAATAGAACCTGTTTGGGATGAGATGAAGAGATGTTTAGAGAGCCAACCGGCCCTGAGAAATTCAAGAGAACTTAGAGAAATATTATTGCAGGAGTGGAACAATCTTCCACAAAATGTGATTCAAAATCTGACCCAAAGCATGGCTTGTCCTTTCCAAGTTGTTATTATAGTCAAAGGGGGGAATACTCGTTACTTAAGTTCTTAAAATTTCTTTTGTTTCAACAAAAACTGTTTCTTTTGTTTCGTTACTTAAGTTCTTAAAATTTCTTTTGTTTCAAGAAAAAGCATAATTAAATCAAAATTATCCCTTTTCAATATTTAGTATATAAAACAAGTTCACTTTCAATCAATTGTGAAGGACAAAAACATTGTTTTCTTTAATGCTATCCATTCCTTACAACTGACAATAGTTAAAAAGAATATTAATTTCGAAAATAAATTCAAATTACGGGGTGACCCTAATTTTATGATCAGCACTGTATGTAGCAATTTTTTGTTATTCTAGATAAAAATCAGCCTACCTAATTATTCTCAATTTTGTAGTTATAATGGCAACTGTATGTTTTTTAATGAATATTAAGTGCACATAAAACTATTTTTGCTTTGTTAATCATTAATTTTTCATTTTTGTATTACATTAATATTTTTATTTCCCTTAATATACTTACTTATTTTTTACTTCTGTTATACTACATATAAAGTGATAATTTGGTATATACATTTGCTTATTAAGGGTTGTGGAAAGATGTTTGAAAATTTGAAATTTTTTCAATTTTAGTTAAAATAAGAAAGACTTGTATTACATTTTTAATTTTAAACACTTACCTTTCCATCTTGGATCTTTTTCTCTTGGGTGGATTGTATAATGTGTGGTAATTTTAGAATAATTTCTTATCAAAACATGAACTTGTTTTGCTAAAAGAATAATTATTTTGAATGTAGTAATTATAACCTATTCAACTTTTCTTGATCAGGAATGGTTCAAAGGTCAATCTAATATGAAATAAAACTAATAGGATATACAATATGTCTTTAGGGCTCTATGTGGGGCTCCTATAACACATTTTATTTCATATTATAAAAAAATAAAGATATAATAAAATACTCACCCAGATTGTTGGAAGTCTTTAATTTTAAGGCCATTATTTCAGTCTTTTGTATCTTTTTACATCTATATTAACTTTTTAATCTTAACTTTATCTTCCAGAAAACTTTTGTACCTTTGATTTGTCCAAAAAAAATTCGAATCACAGATGAGCACTTTGCTCCCAACACCAACACGTTTTATCAGCTGTTTTTGTTAAATATTTAGTTTTATTTGGCTATGAATACAGCGGGCAAAAGCGAAAGGTGGCGAAAACCGAGATAGAAAATATTTTGTTTTCAATTGGAAATATTAGTTAGTTCCCACAACTGGAAAATAAAGCTGCTCCTCTGTATTTTTAATATTATTCGATAAACGTTCTTACAATGATTGAATTGGTCTGCTGTAATTTTTTGTTGTAAATTAATTCAAAATTTCAAAGTTGTCTCATTCCTCTGCTATCCTGCATGGACGTACAAACCAACTTTTCGGAAGGGTTAATACATGGTAAGCTAATCTTAAAACAGAAATAAGCGATTTATTTGAAAATATGCTCTGTTTTTAAATGCTATAGCTATAGCTACGGCAAAAATAAAACTTTAATGCATAGTATATCAACAGAAGGTATTTCAAACAACTTCCTGAGTAAATACTTTTCTCTAGGATGAATCAGTCAGATGAATACGAGGCATTAATGGACACATGAAAAAAATTTATATTGGGCGAAGTTATCAACCAATAAGAAATATTTTTATTAGACTAACCAATAAACGATACTAAAAGAATATTTATTTTACATTACGAATACTTTATAAAAGAATACTACAAATATAAGCCGTATGAATTTTGTTATTTAAATTCTTATTATTATAGTAAAAGTAAAAAAACCGGCAATGCCTCAAAATTTGATTTTTACCCCCTATTATCTTTTGCACAGTACTATAGAGATTTTAATTTCGGGGAAAATGATTAATTGCTGGTGAATATTTCACACTCTTGCTAGTATTACATACCTACTACAAAAAAATCATCCAGAGAATAACTTCTTCGGCCAATAGGTAGCTATACACTGAAAAGTTACTCAAAATTCAGGTAAATTTAAATTTCCAAATCAGAATGTTTTCAAAACTATGTGCTTTATCCGGAGAAATTTGTCAGAAAATTGAATTGCTTTAATATTCTCAAATTTATCTTTTTTGGTATTGTTATTAGATTTTCATAACTGGAGAGGACATTAAATTTTTGTGATTCACCCCAAATCTAGTCAGATAAATAAAAATTTTAAAATTCGCCATCATCATCAAGAATAAAACTTCATATTTTGAAGGAGAAATACTAAGCCTAAATGAGATATCTTTTCTGCAACTGTAGATCTTCATTTTATAAATTAAACATTAGTGGTAAGAATATAAAAACAGAAAAATGCTTTAACACCTTGACTGCGTTACATATCCCCGGCGGTATGTATCTTGTATTACTTCTGTGTTAAGCTCAAATTCAGTAACCGATATAGTGTGCGAAGTACGCATCTTCGTTATTTTTCGTAATAGATTTTTGTTTTCAGCAACCAGCTTTATAATTTTAAATTCTGCAACCAACTATACAGATATTAAAGTACATATCCCCGGCGATATGTAACGCACCAAGAATATTTTATCCTTGTGGTGCGTTACATATCTCGGGAGATATGTACAAGCGTGCCCATAGGCATGTTTGTAGGGGATTACAGTATTGTTAGACCCGTACGTTTAGTTGTGATTTACTCTTTTCCATGGAAGGTTATAGAGCGCAAAAAATATTAAAATTATCGCGGAGAAGTGTAGTTAATGACGATCAAGCTGAGTTTAAAGGCCAAGGATCTTCATCAGATTTTCAACTCAGAGTGGACAGATTGTTAGCATCATCGCGAACAAATGAAGCCGAACAAGTTAATTTAGAACGAGAAGTATATTCATCAGATTTTGATCCTTTTGATACTGATGATATGATTCTGTATTAGATCGTACTTTTGATCCATCGCTTTACGACAATGCGTTTTCGGACGAACAAGAACAAGCTACATTACTATAAATTTCGTTTGGTTTTATACCTTCTTCTTTAAGCTTCAGTGTATTTTTTTACCGCCATCCGCCATGATTTTAAAAACACCAAACGTACAAAATTTGGAATTTAAATATTCAGTAAAGATGGAGAATCTAGTTCCTTTCCAAAGCCAATTAATAATTGAAATAAAATAAAACAAAAGACAGGGGGATTTATAATAAAGCTAATATTTTTAGTAAGCTGTAAGCCATAAGTGGTATGCTAACCATAAAGGATAAAGGCACAATAAAGGTTACGTTACAGGATAAATATTACGTAATTGACACTAACCTTTACAAAATTTGTCAAACCCACGTCAAGTTCGGTCAACAGAAAATGTCACAAAAATAAGATTTTTCTCTATTTTAAAATAAAAGTTTAAATTTTTCTCTCAAGGAAAATTTTCTGATAGACAGACTATCATAAATAAGTAAAATACAATCCTTAATTTTGTAACTTTTTTAGGTTATGTTAATGTCAAGAACGTGATTTTATTTTAGAAATTTATATTTAACAATGTATGGATTACAAAGAATTTCATACCGAATCTATATTCGCAATGGGGTAAGTTTTACAACAAACTGTCACGACTTTTTTATATTAATATTTGTCCTTTTCCTTAGTTTCGACATTATTCCCAACAACCTGCAAAGAGAAATTCCTTTATTGGCCGGCTCTTTGAAAATTTCAAAGATGAGATGGCCAAAAACAAAGAAATGAAAGAATCCCTTAAAAAATTTCGAGAGGAAGCTCAAAAATTAGAACAAAGTGATGCACTAAAAGCAGCTAGGCAGAAATTTGAAAGTGTAGAAAAAGAAGCTAGTAAAAGTAGTGAAGTTTTTAAAGAAAGTTTAGGTTCTGTTAAGGAAAAACTTAAAGGAGTTATAGATGAAGCTAGTAAGTCAGATTTAGCAAAGAAGGCTGGCAAATTCACAGAAGAAGTTGGTAAAACTACACATAAAATAAGTGAAACAGCTCAAGAAATTAGTAAAACTGGAGCATTTCAAAGTATATCTCAAGCTACTAAGGCTGTTAAACAAGAAATAGACAATACTAGTATAGAAGGTAAGAGATTTTATAAGACCCAAATAGGATATTTCCCTAGATCTAACTTCCTGATATCTGTAGATGTAATTAAATTTGTTGTGTTTGTTATTTAACTCGCATAATCTTCCTGACCTCAATTTCTCGCCTTTTTAATTTTTTAATGTGATATACTCAGCTTTGTTAAGATTTAGATTTTTCATTAACTTTTTGTGTATATAACACTTTTTCTTCTGAGTTAATAATCATAATGATCCCTATTTATTATATATTTTATCTCATTTTTAATATATAATTTATATTTAATCCCTTAACAGAAATCGAAAATTAAATCCTATAACAATATGTGGTGGTTCATCCCATATAGCTTGAAGGGAATCTGTAGACTCAGTTACTGTTTATTTCTCCTTCTCACTACTGTTTATGATTTTTTTTACCTCAAGCTTACTTCTTTGTTTTATTTTTTTTTTATTTATGTTATAAATTCAAGGGATTGTCCTTGTGATTATTTCAAATCTAGTTCCCTGTTTGGATTTTTTTGCACTCTCATAAATACAGAGTTAGAGGGAAAATGAATAAGATCAAATCTACAAAACACATAAAACCAAAGACTAGATTGGATTGACTTGTATTTTGCTTGTTCATTTGCGGGTTGTTGCCTCTATAAAAGATTTTTACTCTATCTCTTGCGCAGTAGGCTGATATGTCTTCTAGCACTTGGTTATCTGTCCCTTGTTATTTTAATGATGCTTGTGTCTGCCATTCTATTGATGTGATTGTTCTATTCTTTTTTCTATTTAGTGTTCACTTGTTTATACTCTGTACATTACATTTGGTTCTGATCTTGTCACTACTTATTTGGTCTCTCACTGTGTTTCCTGTAATTCTGAGTATCATTGTTTTCATCTCACAGTTACATGTGTTGGTTATGCCATACACTGTTATTAAGGCATCCTACTAATCTATTAGCTCTTTGTACTTGATCTCTTACCTCTTTTCCAAGGTCTTCATAGCTAGATAGTGTATTTCCTAGTTACTTTATTTCATTATGTATTCAATACTAACTTTATCGCCCTCAAGTTTCTGAATCTCAGAGCCCAATATTCAACAGCTGAGAAAACAAGACACAAAGCAATAAAGCAGAGAGTTTAAGCTGATGCTCTCTAGGTGGTACCATAAAGCTCGCCAATAATGTTCTATCTTCTATTGCTTTTGTTTAGTTGCTCTAAATATCAAAAATTCCTTTTAATTTATCTATGCACCAAGTGTCTTAATGTCATGTATAATTGATATTTTTTCAATTCAAATAGCTTTGGACCTACAAATATTGTCAACTGTTTTAAAATAATACTTTAGCTAATTAAATAAATATTTATTACCCTTTCTGTTGCAGGTAGAGTATATGTCAGTCCTAAAATACTACGGAAGAGAACAGAAACAAGTGCAGTTGTCCATCAAAAATATTATGAACCAAACACAGATGCTACAGGTGTTGAATTACACAAAGATTCTAAGTTTTATGAATCTTGGCAAAATTTCAAAGATAACAATCCATATGTACATAAAGTTATGGACTGGAAATTAAAATATGATGAAAGTGAAAATCCTGTCATCCGTGCTTCCAGAGCACTCACAGAAAAAGTTGGTGATATCATGGGTGGTTTATTTCAGAAAACGGAACTATCTGAAACACTTACAGAAATCTGTAAGATAGATCCTGACTTTGATACCAAAAGATTTCTGAAACAATGTGAGACTGATATTATTCCCAATATTCTTGAAGCCATGACAAGAGGAGAGTTAGAGGTTCTTAAAGATTGGTGTCATGAAGGTCCATTTAATCTTTTTGCTGTTCCTATAAAAGAAGCTTATAAGAAGGGATACAAAATTGAATCAAAAATTTTAGATATTGATCATGTGGATTTAGTTTTGGGCAAAGTGATGGAACAAGGGCCAGTTTTAATAATATCCTTTACCTCCCAGCAAGTTATGGCTGTCCGAGATGCCTCAGGTGGAGTTGTTGAGGGAGATCCTGATAAAGTGATGAGAGTTAACTATGTATGGGTACTATGCAGAGATGTGACGGAACCTGATCCTAGAGCGGCATGGAGACTCCTTGATCTTTCTGCCAACAGCAACGAACAACTGGTTTAACACAACCATGAACGATGTTATGACAAATTAATGAAATATATGATTGATCGACCTTATTGTTATTGATTTACAAGGGAGATCAATTCAGGGCGAGCCGGGCCAGGAGGACGCGAGGGAAAGTTCTTTATGTTAAGAAGCGGTGCTCGATTAATAAAATTTATACTAATTTAGGAATATATTTAGGCCATTATTCAAAATTATGAAATAAATTATTAAACTTCTGTAATCATTGTGACTGCAGGCATAGGATTTGATAAATTCAAAAAATATTGAATCTGTGTTATCTTACGTAAGATTCAGATTCTTGAAATGTACAAATTTCTTCTGTAAAAACTGTAAATACATTCAATTTTGGAATAAATCGTTGATTTTTATAAATTCTTTTTTGGTAAAATCCCATTTTAGAATTAAATCCAAACATACATATAGCGAATAAAGTTTGAAATTATATCATGGTGAAAGCTTCGTCAGTATTATTCCTTTCTTTTGTACGTGTTATGATGTAAGGCAATTCGTAACACTATCAGACTTCAATCGAAGCGGGTCATATTTTGCTACACTCCGACAAATTAAAATTTAATTGATTTTAAATGTGTTTTTAAAAAACCAAAGAAATAATTTATTCTGATTGTGTTTTTAAACATTCAAGCAAGTGATAACAGTAAATTTGCTGTTTATAATCAATCCAATAATTATTATAATTCATATCTAAAACTAGCACAAAGTTAATCATACCTAATACATCGTTTTGTGCTAATTGTTCAAAACTAACTTCTACCTCCTATAGAAAGCTCCAGTGTGATGGCTGTAAGAAACCAATACACATTGCTTATACGGATCTGTCGGTCGATGATTGAGTTATGAGGCAAAAAGTATGTGGGATATGTATACTTTGCAATGCATGTAGTTCAAACATAGGGAATATTACTGAAATCAAAAGTCTGCTAGTCGAGTTTAAAGCGGACATTAAGAAGAAAATTGAAGACTTTTATATTAAACTATCTAAATTCAGCAATAAATTAAATCAACTTGATTCTATTACAACAACAGAATTTACCGATAGCAATGTCAATAAAGCCGCATATCTCGTTCCAAAATTTTTGGTTAGAGACGCCCCTGAACCTACAAGAGACGCACAAAATAAAAAAGATCATGATAAGAATAAAATACATTTAGTCCTACAAGTCGTTGGATGTCAAGAAAGTCCTGTTACATTTTATAGAGTCGGTAAACCAAATTCAAAATAAACGTTATCCCCGCATAAAATAAAATAAGTGATAATGAGTTCTGAACATCACACCTCGAAAAATTATTCGTAACAAAAATAAACTTTTGGAAAACAAATCTAGTAAAACTTATTATGTTATTGATGACACGACACCTATGCAGCAATTTCGTATAAAGGAACTTTGTACTGAGCTTGAACCTCGTAAAAATAATGGAGAAAATGACCTTACGATTAAATATGTGAATGGCTGTCCAAAGATAATAAAATTTCGTTTATAATTCTTCTACACCAAAATTTACGGATTGGCTTCTTATGTATACGAATATAAACTCTCTTATGTCCAAATTTAATGAATTTATAAGTACTGTTCAACTTCTAAAACCTCACATTGTTCTCCTAACAGAAACGTGGCTTAATTCTTCTACCCTGATGCTATTGTAAACATTGATAATTTTACTATATTTCGTAGAGTTAGATGTACTCGTCGAGGGGGAGGAGTATGCATCTATTTAGCAAATGAAATTACCAATACTTTTTCCATCAGTAATAAAACAATAGACGTACCCGGTATAGAAATTATCCACGAACTTATTACTAATAACTCTTTCATATTTAATATAGTTTGCATATAGCGACCTCCGGACTTACTCAGGACAATATGCTTGTTAACAAACTTGAGGAATTATCATCCCTTGAAAATCTCATTATTGTTGGAGATTTTAATTTTCCAGAGATAAGCTGACCCATTATTTTCAAAACTGATACTATCAATTCCCAAAATTTGTTTAAAAACTTTATCATGAACTGAAATTTATTACAACTGATAACTAAACCTACAAGGTTTGGAGCCAACAATAATCCTTCAATTTTATTAAGTACTTATTTTTCACAAATGACGATCAATTAATTTCTACACTTGAAGTGTCCTCTCCTCTTGGTTTTTCTGATCACTCGCTTATTACTGCTCACATTCAATTTAGTTTAACACCGCCTTGCAAAAATAATTTCGTAACATATGCCACTTCTGATTTCTTTAATGTCAATTCAGTTTTATTCCAGTTAAACTGGCAATTTTTCTTAATCACTGATCCATCGTCAATGTGTAATTCTTTTCTTCATACTGCTATTACAACAATTTCTGATCATAAAACCGAAGGGCAGCTATACAGAAATCGACTAAAACCTTGGATTAACCTCTCAGCTGCCCATGTAATTCGACATAAGCGAAAGCTTTGGCGAAGATATAAACTTACTGGGTCCCTTGATGATTTTCTCGCCCACCGTAATTATTCTAACAGAGTCAAACAATATTTTCTAAAGTTAAGAACAGAATTTGAAGAATCTATCATTGGAAGTGGTAATAGTAAAAAAGTTAATGGGTACATTCATCTTTATCTTCTAAAGTCTCCATACCATTACTTCAAAAATGCTTACGGGTCTTTAGGTTTCAGGAACTGAAATGCTGTTCAGAACGTTTATCGTTATACTTTTCTCAGGTTTTTGCAGATGAACCTACGATATCATTCCTTAAAAGATGTGCCCGCGTTTGTCTAAAACTCTGACAATATATCTTTCACACAGGAGGAAAACTTCATTTAAGGAAACTACGAAATAATTCATCACCTGGATAAGACGGACTTACTTCCTTTTTTCTCACACAATGTGCAGAATCTGTAGCCATCCCTATATCTCTCATAATGAATGCTTCTTTTAATCAAGGTTCTCACCCCTCGTACTGAAAATTGGCTTCGGTTACAACTAAATTCAAGAAGGGAAATAAACTTGATTGCAATAATTTTATTGTTAAATAAGCCTGGTTCCTATTGTCGACAAGGTCATGGAATCGATTATTTCGGAAGCTATGTCTGAGATTCTTCTTCAAGAAAATGTCATCCCTCACCAACAGCATGGTTTTATCAAAGGTCGTTCAACGATCACAAACTTACTTTATTGTGTAAATGATTGGCCATTATCTTTAAACAATCGAAATCCTGTCGATGTAGTCTACTTACCCTTCTCCAAAGCTTTCGACCATGTTCCAAAACGTCGATAACTAGCTAAATTGGATCACTATGGTATCCGCGGAAAGTTAAATATTTGGATTCAAGATTTTCTATCCGACAGATACTTCAGGGTTCGTGTTGGGGAAGACCACTCACTAAATCCAGTCAAGAGTGGAGTTCCACAAGGATCAGTGCTTGGACCGCTACTTTTTGGTGTCTACACTACTGATCTTCCGCTCATTGTATCCAGTAAGGTTTCAACAACATGTTCTTCAACAAGGTCTTGGCGCAATATTCAAATGGTTTGTTTTCGTTCTTTTTAGGACTCACCAAAGCGCCTCAGTAGCAAGCCCTAACATTACATCAAATCTTTCATTTTGAGTAATAGAAGCCAGTACTTAGATGCAACGGTATGATGGGGAAATTCAATTTTAGCTTCCTTATGTCGATTATTCATCATCTGTTTGTTTTGTATATCGTAGAAGGGACATGTTTGGGTCACAATCTGAATTTTGGTTTATAACATGTAGAAATCTTTGGATTTTTACTTTTTGCTTTATTCTTAAGGAAATATTCAGTATTATCCGACAACCGAGAGCTGGCTGGTGAGCTGCGCGAAAATAGAAAAGGAATTATTCTAAGACAGATAGGAGAGGTACTTAATCGCTGGTGTCCCAAATGCGTAGTTGCCGTATCAAAAATTTAGTTGGGATCTGAAAATTACGTTAATAGATATGTTCGGTGGTTGTGTCATTGCGTGTGTGATAAACTTATTTACCTCGAAAACAAAATAAAAATAATAATATTGAATAAAACGTAGAAAAAATTTGTTAATAATATGTATTTTCATAAAACGTAATTAATTCTCGAAGGGAAGGTATTTTTGTATGTATCGCGGACTGATACAACTTATGTGTCCTAATCATTACTAAACTAAACACAACACAGAACACACATCCTTTGTTTATATTTCTAATCCAGACGGTAAACTCAAGTATTATCTTCCATCATGGTACAATAAACTCTCATGGTAGAATCTTGCGCATGATATTTGACACTTTTGACCGCTGAGGTCAAGCGGGTGTGACGTAGCAAAGGTCCCTGTGAGCCATTATTTGTAATTGTATTACTATATTGTGTAGTGGATTTTTTTGCAAAACTCGTATTATTCATCTGCGCTGTGCGCTGTGCAGTTGCTACTTGTAATAGTGACAATAAAGATAAAACCTTAAGGTTTCATACGTTTCCTAAAGATAGTGTGGTCAGGAAACTGTGGATAATATCCTGTTGTAGAAAGGATAATTTTAAAAGGATTTTATTTGAATGATTAACTGAATACTTTCCTCTTCTTCTTCTTAAGGTTCCATCTTCTAACGAAGGTTGGATATCAACATGGCAATTCTTACTTTACTTACAACAGCTCTAAATAGTTGGCTAGAGCTCAGACCAAACCACTCCCTTAGATTTCGTAGCCAGGAGGTTCGTCTTCTTCCTACATCTCTTTTACCTTTTATTTTGCCCTCTATAATCAAACGTAGTAGCCCATAACGAGGACCTCTTAATATATGACCGAAATATTCAAGTTTCCGCCTCTTAATTGTCTGTACAATTTCTTCCCTCTTATTAACCCTATCAAGGACTTCAATATTGGTAACCTTGTCTACCCATGCTATTCGTAGCATCCTTCGATAACACCAACGCTCAACGCTCAACGCTCAACTTTCCTCTAGAGTGGTCCAAAATGCCAACTTGGTACTTACCTCTTCTCTTTGAAGTTTTTGCTGATGATGCTATCACATCATTGAGTGACTAAAGTCTTAGCATATGCACATGACATAAAATTATTTCGTATTATTCTAGACCATTCTGATTGTATTGGGTTACAAAAATTATTGGGCAGTTTTGCGAATTGGCGTGTTATTATCAAATTAACTAATTGTAAAAAATTTCAGGTGATCCTTGTGTATTGATCTCATGATCCGATAGTATTTAATTATAATTAAAATAATAAATTAATGTAATATGTAATAAAGTTCCTTTAAAAACTTATTTTTTATTTCCCAAAATACTTTAATACAAGTAAGTCCACCAGACATCCAATGAAGGTTCAATTATCATCGGTGGGTGTTTAGCAGCGTGACATTTGGACCAAACTAGGATGTGCTTAGTACTAACACGAACTTCTGTTGGATCTGTTAACTACTTCTTGTGTCCGTTGAACCCACTACTGTCATTAGGCAAACCCAAAGATCGAACAGCTGCAACATATACTTTTGAAGGAGTAAAAGCGTTCACATATCTAGGCTCAAATCAACCAAAGTAATACAGTAACTGCAGAAATTAACAGACATATATATCTAGCAAATAGAACGTACTATGGATTAAAGAAACTTAACGTCAAACAGTCACAAAAAGAACAAAAATATTGATATGTATATAGAACTCTAATCAAGTTGGTCAGAAACGTGGATGATGACAAAAAGTGATGAAGAACGTTTGGGTTGTTTTGAATGTATAAATGGGACATTTATAAAGGCGTGCAGGGAAACGGATTATGACATAGACGCTACAATTTTGAGCCTAATATTGGTAGGTCTATAAAAATGAACATGCTGCGGTGGCTAGGACACTAAGAGAGAATGAAATTGTGGTGATATGTATTCCATTTTGTAGATTAGCTTCTTCTTCTTCTTCTACTTTTTGTAGATCTTTCGATCTGTTTAATTCTGAAGCTGCCTCTGGTTAATTTCTTGGGAGGTAGATTGCCAACTATCCCTCCATCTTTTAGGTGGTCTTCCGGGGGGTCTTGAACCAGGCGGATTGTTTTCTAGGGCAATTTTTGGGAGTCTATTCTCATCCATTCGTCTTACATGGTTGTACCACATCCTCTTGCGCTGTCTTCCCCATCTTACAATATCTTGAATTTTGCACTGCTCTCTAATGTTTGTATTTCTCACTCTGTCCCTTCTTGTTTTCCCCATTATTGTTCTTAGGGTTTTCATTTCGGCAACCCTTAGCATCTGTTTCGTTTTGTTGGTATCTTCGCGCACTTCTATGCCATATGTCATGATCGGTCGTATGCAAGTCTTATAGATTCTAATTTTACTATCTGTACGCATATACGGATTAGACCAGACTATCTCCCGCAGACATCCTGACAGTGCAGATGCTTTGTTGATCTGACTCCTCAGGTCCTTTACTGGGTCATGGGTGCTTGATATATCTATGCCCAGATATCTGAATTGCATCACCTGTTCTATGGGGTTGTCCTCAACCACTAACTTACATCTGAGCGGATCTTTTGCGATTGTCATACATTTAGTTTTGTTGGTAGAGATGTTCATATTTAATAGTCGGCTTGTTTGAAAGAACTGAAAGAGCTGCCTTTGGAGATCATCTTCTGATTCGGCAATAATTGCTGCATCGTCTGCGTAGCACACCATACCAATTCTTTTGTTGCCCATTCTATATCCGAGATTAAGAGATGTTACTTTGTTGATAATTTTGCCCATGAGAAGATTAAACAAGAAGGGGCTTAAACTGTCGCCTTGTCTAATTCCTCCCGGTGTTGGAATATTTTCAGTGACTTCGTCTCCTGCTCTAACTTTGGTTACGTTGTTGTTATTTAGGTTATGGAGTATCTTTGTTATACTGGTCGGTGTTTTATTTTCTATTAATATATTTAGAATGTCTCCCAGGCGAACTCTGTCAAATGCCTTCGTCAAATCAATGAAGCAAATATACGCTGGCATGCCGAACTCTATAGCTTTTTCTTTTATTTGTTTTATTACAAATACTGCGTCTATTATAGACCGCCCTTTTGTAAAACCTTGTTGTTCTTCAGCATTAGTGATTTGCTTTTCCAATTTGTCCTTGAGAATACCCGTGAAAAGTTTCATTGTTTTGTAGATTAGCGAAGACCCAAAACTCTTTATATAAATTTTTTTTGTATCTTTTAAAACAACTGAAATATGGAACTCTAGAGTAGCAGTTGTTCAACCTGTATGTATAATAAACATAATTAAAACGTGTTTTATAAAGAATACCTATGTTAACAAAATAAAATAACAGTTTCAGAACCTCGCTAAAATATCTGTACCCAAAAATCAATAAAATTAAATTAGATACAACTTATTTTTTATGATTAAATATTATAAAAACACAACTTTATCATTTCCTTATAAGTACTATAAATAAATTAACCAAATTATATTAAAAATTTAAAATTAACAGTCTTTCCTATACAACTGCATTCAAATTTGCGCGAAGAGGGGATCTTGACTACGTTGTGCGCAAAGCGAACCGATTTTGGAACATTATGTGCCATACCATGTGAATTTTATTGTACCATGATCTTCCATTTATCTTGTGATGTTATTGCTTGCAATATCATATTTCGTTTCCTATTTATGAAAAATGTAATGTATTAAAATGTATAATTAAAGTGTTCAGCATATCAATAAACATTTTGGAGAAACACATTTCAATTTTTATGTCATTTCTATTTCACATGTGTATAACCAATTGCGATAATGTAAATTTTAACATGAAGAACTGTTAATTAATTTTTGAAATAATTAGCTTGTCGCTACAAATATACGTTGTATTATCAATAATAGTGAACTGTAAAGTACTAATTAACTGATCCATTGTTTACTTACTATTTACTGGAATTTTTTTGTTCTGTAAGTTTTTATTTATTTATTGATTATAATTTTATTGATTGTAAGTTAAATTAAATTATTTAAATCTGTATTTATGTTGAAAATGAGTATTATAATTACCAGTTAATTGAGCTACACGTTTTTGTATGTTTTTTAAATCAACTAAGACTTTATCTGCATTAGCTTCTTCGGTTATAAACATAAAAATATTGAAAATTATTTCTCGTGCTTGAGATTCCAAAGGTTTGCCTTTTAATACACTTGCCATTTTAATAAATATAAATAATAGTTTATAATATAGGGCCACTCCAAATAAAAATGTAAATACTTGACAACACTGTCAGAAATCTAGCACTAATTACACGATGTCAACTCCTAGCCGACTGCAATAGAAATAAGCAGCCCATTCTACTTTTCAATTTGTTCTACGCGCAACCAGCCAGCTCTCGCTTGTCGAGTTATACATGGCTCATTATACTGATGGTGTGAGAGCCGCTGCATTCTTTTGTGTTTATTTTTTTGGGGTAGTACGAATATCGTTGGCATGCGACCTGTTTTGTATTTTGTTCAAGAAATGCACAACAAAATATCTAGCCTCCCGACCTTGACCGCAATTTACCGTTCACTAGAATTGTTTGAAATATTTTACGTATTGCTCACGTGAAGAGGAGGTCTCAACTTTTTGATGTTTATTTCCAAATGGACTGGTCTAATGTCAACTGATCTATTTCGAGCTGCTGTGAATAGAATAAGATGGGTCAATGTGGTCGCCAACATCTCTAGAAGATAGGCACATTTAGAAGGAGAATATTTTATGGATATTACTGTAGATAATGGTAATAAAAATCCACATATACATTTGACTTAATTTAATAATTACTTACACAAATCAATATATTCTCGATATAAAATTGTACAACTTTTTATTATCACACAAGTAAGAAACTACAATCCTACTAACTAATCTTTAAGAAAACTTAATATATCGCCATCATCCTCGTCAGAAGAAGCGTTTACTTCCATATTTAGAAAGGAAATTTCCTGAAAATTAAACAAAAATTTTTATAACTCTCAATTTTATGGGGTTTAATACAGGAAAGATAAAAAACAAATTCTTTCAGATATTCTTTTTTATTTTCAACGTACATTCACTTAAGCCCAATATACTTTTCTAAATATACTTGTTTTAATATACTTTTCTTTGTATGACCGATTTGTATGAAATTTTATGTGTATCAGGAAGGTACGTATGTCTGAAAATCGGTCGTAAAAATCGTTTTCGGACTAAAAGGTCCATCATCAGTGTAATATTAATAACTTTATCCTTGTCTCACCGGGTACATAGATTAAAACTTACTTTAGGTTAAAACATTTTTAAAATCTTTCCAATAGTTATATCACAAGGTTTAACATAATTTTAATGGTTTAGCACACTTCAACCCCAACATATTGATGTTTGCTACTGCTATAAGGAACAATAAATTGAAAATTTTAAAGATTCTCAATTCACACACTGTTGGCTGGTGTCACATTAAGACATACTACAAGTTACATCGACTACTTTGTTCATGCTTCGGTTCAAAAACTGTCATTTTAATTAGTTCCCATCCAGAATAGTCATGTGTAACACTGTGTGGTATGACACTTTTGTGCTGATACTTTACGTTGCGTCATGTGTATTGACACCGCAACAATAAAGTGTCATGACACAGTAACACCCCGACTGTTTCCGAGCAATGCAATTCACTGCAATAGTGCGATTTGATATAAGATACAACAAAAAGAAGCAGAACACGAAAGGTGTGCGTTAAAGTTTTCGAATCTCACCGAAACATTTCAACCTGTCTGATCTATTATCGCTTTGTGTCCTTTGTTCTCAAAAAGATTTTATTTGTGAAAAGATCAATTCTCGGTCAGAGTCTCGCACAGCTATTAAGTAAATTCAAAACAGATGTGACAGCTTCTTTATCTGTTTTTACAATATCTGCCCAAATTTCGATAGTTTAGCAAAATATTGTCGTTGTGTTTGGATATAACCATTCTCTTTATTTATATTATTTTTTATGGGCTACTCACTTGAATTGATCCCAAATAAACGTTTATACTCAGGTATAGATTATTAATCACGCTGAAATGGTAGTCACGATGGATAACGGAATGAAAACGAGGCCAATAAAAATCAACCGAGGAGTAAGACAGGGAGACACCATATCTCCAAAACTATTTACTGCCGCACTTGAAGACATCTTTAAATCACTAAATTGGGAAACGAAGGGACTATCGATAAACGGAAAGTATTTAAACCATCTAAGATATGCAGATGACGTAGTACTAATAGCCGACAGTTGGAAATAACTGAAGACGATGATCGATGAGCTTCATACGGAATCCATAAAAAAAGGACTGAAAATGAATCTGAGTAAAACTAAGCTAATGTCGAATAAAGATGATCAACCGACGATAACCATCCAAGGAACAAAAGTGGAACATGTAGAAGAATACATATATCTGGGTCAGAATATCAAGATACACAAAGAAAACCAAACTACCGAAATAAGCAGACAAGTAAGAATGGAATGGGCCGCATTTGGAAAACTTTCATACATACTGAAAGACAAAAAGATACCCCAAAACCTTCGAACCAAAGTGTTCGATTCTTGTATCCTTCCCGTTCTCACTTACGGAGCTCAAACCTGGGCATTCACAAAAAAGAACATGGACAAGATTCGAAAAACTCAGCGAGCCATGGAACGACAGATGCTTGGTATCTCACTAATAGATCGGCAAACGAACGAAGCAATCCGGAACAAAACAAACATAAAGGACGCCGCGAAACAAGCAGCTAAATTAAAATGGAAATGGGCTGGACACAACGAACGTCTCGAAGATGGTAGATGGAACAAAGAAGTCGGAAACTGGCGACCGTACGATGCGAAGAGACCAAGAGGAAGACCTCAAATGCGCTGGAGCGACGATATCAAAAGAGTCGCAGGACCAATGTGGAAACGCCTAGCATACAACAGGAATGAATGGCGAGAAATGGGAGAGGCCTTTATTCAACAATTCGGATAGAAAAAGGGCTATAAAAAAATATTTAATCCATCATTTCTTGCCCAAGCAATCTATAATTTAATATCTTGATAAACAATCTCAATAGCCAAATTGGATCAAATCTACCTCCTCAAGAACTTCCCGTTTACTGTCAAACAACTGCAATAATAGTATTGAGTTCTCCATTCAACAATATACAGTAGTTTCAAACATGTTCTACCATCCATCTATTAATAGAGTACCGGCATGTAAGTAATTTTATTTTATTTCATTTATTTATTTGCTCATTCATTAATTTATTCCAATAGAAGAGATTTTATGACAACTTGTGGGCCTTACCTTGTCCTTTTAACTTTTTAAAAAATATTTATACCTTTTATTCAACTCAATCATTTAAATAAAACCACAGACAGGTAATATTGGCATAATTATTGTAATTTATAACATCTAATTTGTTTATCTTTATTAGACAACACCCTAATATGGGTTTTTATCATTTCAGCATTTGTTTAACTTTGTACCGAGACCTGAAGATGCTTTGCATATTGTAGAAAGCGAAACCGGTCGTCGGATAGTTAAATTAAATTGATTGTGAGTAAGTCTGATTTATTATTTCTTTACCTATACTATTTTCAACACTTTTCAGAATCCTTGTTAACCCCGGAGTAATATCTCTGAAGTATGGCAATAAAAAATATTTATTGATAGGAGTATCCGAGACTGGGTTCCCACTTAAAACATCATAATCAGCATTGTTAGTCGCGAAGAAAGGTGAAGTACCCTCGTTATGGACAGTGTTAAACAAAATCTTATTCACTAGTTTGATAAGCATTTGAAATGAAAAGTTTCTGTAGGATTTGTAGGTTTTTTGTATGAAAAGAAAGATCTGATAGTTTTATTACTCTATTTTTCATATGTTTAATTAAGTTGACTTTGGTAGAATTATTATGGTAGGACTGGTAGTTAAGGTATCTACCAGATAAACCGACCCATTCTGGTAGATACATTAACTACCACTCTTACCATAATAATTCTACCAAAGTCAACTTAATTAAACAGATGAAAAATAAAGTAATAAAACTATCAGATCCTTCTTTTCATCCAAAAAACCTACAAATCCTACAGAAACTTTTCATTTGTCCATTTCAAGTGTTGAAAATAGCTTTGGGAAGAATAATAACAACATTGAACTTAATGTGGCTTGTATATCAGCCCTAACAATTAATAATCTTTATTCTAAGATCAAAGATGAGATATGCTTAGTAACATTGTCTACAACTCAAAGAATTAATTCCTTTTAAATGTAGTTTATTAGGTTTTTTCGGTTAGCCTCGGGTACACCTTTACGTTTCAAGTTCAAAGCTACCATACATTTCTAACGGTAACTTTTTTCACATAGTAACAAAAAAACCACTATGTTGTTACTAGCTAAGTTTTTTTAACATCCTAACTCTACAATTCTAAATTACGGTAAGATCTCCAGTGTTTTTTTAAATAGATAATATTATGGTAGCTAATTATAATTTCTTCTCTTTCAGCCCCGAAGAAGCCAAATTAATTCTCTTTGGCGAAAACGTTCGGCGAAAGAATTGATACACATTAGAGTCATTTGCACATTTCCCCAATTTTTAAGAGTTTACTATTTATATGCCGTTTGGAAACTGTCAAAAACTTGTGCAGATATAAAATATATTCAAAATATAAGCTTTAGTTGTCTATTAAAAGTACTTACTTTAGTATCCTCTTCATCTGATTTATCAGCTGCAGAAGTCGAATCCTTACTAGCTTCAGTTGGTAATGCTTTTTCAGTTTGTATTTCAGGTGTTTTGCTACTCTCAAAAATATTTTGCGATTTTTCATCTTTAACTGTTATATTTGTACCCAAACCATCAGTAACTGATGTAGTGTCACTGTTTACCTCTGCAATAGCTATAATTTCCTCATCGCTTTCGTGAATTTGTTGTTTTGGTGAAGTTTTAAATTTTGATATTAAATTTAGTTTTATATTTTGTGTTTTAATCTGATCAAAATTCGTACTTTTAATGTCCTCTATTTCTACTGTATCAACTTCCTCCTTAATTAATTTTTTAATTTTGCTATCTGGTGTAGAAATTTTCATTTGTGTTTTTTTATTAGTTTTTTTCAATAATTTTTTATCTTCGTGTTTAACATCATTTTTGATACTTCTGATTTCTTCATTGTCTAACATTTGACGTTCCGAAGAAGTGGCACTACAACATCCATCTTCATTTTGTTTCGCTTTATTAGCTGTTATACGTTGAACATTTCTTTTCTCATAACTCAAGTCGTCCTCACTATAGTTCTGCAAAACAGACCTACTTTCTTTATTCTTTTTACCTTTAGCAGTTTTACCAGAATTCAAATCAGCAATTTTTTCAGATAACTTCGGTATCTTAAATTTTGAGTGAAGTTTGTTTTCTACGGGATTAAATATAGAAGTAACATCACGATCCGTCATTTCAGTTGGTTGTACTGATGTTTTAGGTAGTAGATGTTTAGCAGGTGATGACTTGACGTTTAATTTATTTTTTCCTTTCTTTCCACGTGATCGAAGTGCTGGACTTAATCGATTTTGTTCTACTTGATGCGATTTCGTATTACTGGTTGTCTCTTCCTGAGACACCGCTGTAGGTAGGTCACTTTCGATAGGATGTATTGCAGAGACAGTTTCAATTTCAGTCTCCTTCTTAATTTGCGGAGGTGCTAATTCTATCAAGTTTTGTTCTGCATCATCTGTTTTAGTAATACTGGTTGTCTCTTGCTTAACTATTTGGAAAGATGTGGGTGGGTTACTTTCTACAGGATTTATTGTAGATGTAGTTATATTATCTGTCATATTATCCTCCTCCGTTGGCTGAGATGATGCCCTTGAAGATGCTTCCTTAATATCATCAACAGATATTTTAGAAAGCAGAATTTTAAGTGGTTTCATTTCCACAGTTGGTTCAGCCTTTTCTGTAGGTTTTGGTATGACATCTTGAGCTAAAACAAAAAATATTAAAAATTATCAAATATATCAAATAAAACATAAATATAATATGAGGATTATGTAACGACGAAGACGAGTGACACAATATATTATCATAAGTATAGATATTTGAGGACAAAGGAGAAACACATACACAAAAAAGAAACAAAATCACAAAATTACTTGTTTCAATGGAGAGAATGTCCAGATAAACATGATAAGCAATGAATTTAAACCAAGAAACAAGACTTCATAGAGACATTACGAAGACGAATCACGTATTCCCGACACTACGGTTGAAATCCAAGAAAGGTTTTCTAAGTGGCGTTTTCGTGGAAACTACAGACTGATATCGTCCGAAACTAAACACACCGAATAATTTAAACTGTGACTAGAGTACATGGGTTGTGAAGACCAACAGAGCAAGATGAGGCCAGCTCGATAAAAATGACATCTTATGCACGTGCGGCCAACGACAGGATATGGTCCATCTGCTCTAGTGCAAGTTCAAGTTAACGAGCACCTATCATAATAAGCCTTATCAGAGAAATGAAGCCTATGCTTAATATGTTACCACCACTAAAATATTGTCAAACATTTTATTTGAGATATTGAAGCCTTAAACTTTTTAACACAGATCTATAATACCTGTTTTTCACTTTAAATCAGCATATAACAGCATCAAATATTATGAATGAACTAGCGATTTCAAAATACATACAACGCAAAAGTCTAGGGATATTTTTATACATAGACGTATTTTGTCTAATTGTTAATGTCTGCTTGAGGTAGTTGTGTCCATTGTTCACTCAGAAGCTCTTTTGATTGACACTCATTGTAGATATTGCCCATATGTGGAGTAATTCGTCGTTCGAGCATGTCCCATACATGTTCAATGGGATTCAAGTCCGGTGATTGTGCTGGCCACGGCAATACATCAATACCCTCGTTATCTAACCAGTTACAATATGCGCAGCATGTGGTCGAGCGTTATCATGCATAAAGTAAAAATTTTCTCCAACAGCAGCAGCAAACGGGCGCACAATAGGTCAAGAACAGTGTCCAAATATTGCTGACTTGTGAGAAAACCACGTGGGATTCTTCCGTCAATCATGATTCCGCCCCATACCATTAATGTACGACCTCTGTATACACAAGATGTCGTAATCGTTCTCCATTTCCGGGTCGTCTCCAAACTCTTGTCCGACTGAAATCTATAGCTAGACTCGTCACTAAACAAAACTGTGGCCCAGTCATTGTCAGTCGAATTCTGAAACTCTTGACACCAGGTTAATCTTGCAGCGCGATTGCCTCTAGATAGAGGTGGACATCTCAGTGATCGCCGACTACGAAGATTGGCTTCATGGAGACGATTCCTCCCAGTATTCATTAACCAGCTCGGATGCTGTGAATGTTGGCTGCCTTCTGGCATTTAAAATTAAATATCGGTCTTGAGCGACGGTTAAAGAGTGACCACGTCCTGGATGTTGCTCGGCTGGACTCTTACAGTGGTATTCATAGTTGTTCGCCAGGAAGAGTCGTCGGCGGCTCTTCAGTTAGCGAACTCTCCATCGAGATTTCATCCCCTGTTTCATAGTTAATCTTCGGAGAACCGCTAGTGGGCGATCGGTTACTTACTACTCGATATGAAAACGTAGACGTATTGTCATAAAATCCACGGCTTCTCGCAATCGTACTTGTGAACTAGTCGACTGGAGTTACAATTTGCCAAATTTAAATGTAATCGTTTCTACTCATTCATATAAATATTATAATGTATAATATATTAAAGTTTTTAATATTGGTAATATTATTAAAGCTTTTAATATTGTTTTTTAATATTAATAATAATATTAAGTAATTAAATACTGCGCCTTGATTAAAAAAAGTACGAGATAAATAACTCGTTTTTTTTAATGAAATTGCAATTTTCTTGCAAATGCTTGGTTTTTTTTTATAAGTAATACAAACTGTATGAAGAGTAGCTAAGCGTTGGATAGTCAGTGGCGAATCTACGAGGAGGGAAAAAGTATCTTCTTTTTTTTGCCAATACTTTGACTGAACATAAAACCAAGAGAGGATGGAATGTTGTCAGACCATTCTTCTTCAGCCTGTTTGCATCCACTCCTGGACAAAGGCCTCCCCATGAGTTCTCCACTCTTCCCTGTTTTGTGCTATTTGGTGCCAGTTTCTCCCCATTTTTGCTTTGATGTCGTCTAGCCATCGTTTTTGTGGTCTTCCTCTACTTCGACTGTGTTCGCGTGGTCTCCAATGTACAATGTTTTTCGTCCATCTGTCGTTGTTTTGCCGTGCCACGTGCCCTACCCAGTTCCATTTCATTTGTGCAATTCTTCCAATTACATCTTCCACCTTCGTCCTGCTTCGTATGTCCTCGTTTCGTATATGTTCTCTCAGTGATACTCCCAACATAGCTCGTTCGATGGCCCTCTGTGTTGTTCTTAATCTGTTGGCTGACAACTCTGTAAGTGTCATGGTCTCCATTCCATAAGTCATAACCGGTAGAATACAACTGTTGAATACCCTTTTCTTTAGATTTATTGGTATCTTTTTGTTCTTCAACACATCACTGAGTCTGCCTACTGCTGCCCAAGTCATTCGGATTCTTCTAGTTATCTCTGCTGTTTGATTCTGTTTGCCTAGTTTGATGGTGTGACCTAGGTATATATACTCTTCGACACTTTCGATCTCACTTCCATCTAAGTCGATTGTGATATTTTGATTTGTCATTACTTTTGTTTTATTTAAATTCATTTTTAAACCGATTTTTTCAGATTCTTGTTTAAGCTCCTTCAGCATGTAGATTAGTTCCTCTGTATTGTTGCTTATGAGTACTATGTCATCGGCAAATCTTAGGTGGCTTAAAAACCTGCCATCAATTTTAATTCCGAGTTGTTCCCAATTTAACTTCTTGAACACATCTTCTAATGCAAGAGTAAATAATTTTGGAGATATGGTGTCTCCCTGTCGAACACCTCTTTCTGATCTTATTTTGTTTGTTGTTAGGCCTTCTGCTACATTTATTTGCATAGTTGCATTGTCGTATATGTATTTTAGGAGCATTCTATATCTGGAATCTATCCTTGCGTTGTTCATTCCGTCTAATACCGCCCAGAATTCTATGGAATCGAATGCCTTATTGTAATCCACAAATGCCAAATGAAGAGGTTCATTGTATTCGTTACATTTTTCAATAAGTGTCCTTATTGTCTGTAGGTGTTCTATTGTACTATAACCTTTGCGGAAACCCGCTTGTTCAACAGGCTGGTAACTATCAAATTTGTTTGATAGTCTGTTGGTAATTATTTTGGTAAGCAGTTTGTATGGATGTGGTAACAGGCTTATTGGTCTGTAATTTTCGAGTTTGTGTTTGTCTCCTTTCTTGTGTAGTAAAAGTACCTGCGCGTTTTGCCAAGAGGTTGGAATAGCACCCCCGAATAGGCACTTGTTCAGTAAGATTTTAACTGCCTCCATAGTAGTTTGACCTCCAGCTGTAATCATCTCTTTTGTTATTCCGTCGTCTCCAGGAGATTTTCCATTTTTCATTTGCTTTAAGGCATTTACAACTTCCTCGGTAGTAATTTCTGGTAGTGTTTCAGATCCTACATTTAGTATTCTTCGTTCCGTATCATGGGTTTCAGGTTTTGCTACGCTGGACGAGTATAATTCTGTATAATAATCTTCGACAATGTTTATTATCTGATTTTTGTCGTTTCTAATGATTCCATTTTTATCCTTTATTTGGTGTATTTGTTGTCGGCCTTTGCTATTTAGCGTTTTTAACACTTTCATATTCTTGTTTTTCTCTATAATGTTTTCGATTTTTTCGGTGTTGTTGTCCCTGATGTCTTGTCTAATTCTTGTTCTTATTGCCTTATTAAGTTCCTTATATTCTGGTGAATTTCGATCCATGCGGCTTCTGTCCCTAATCATCTGTTGTGTTTCTGTCTTCAATTTATTATCTTTCGGTTTCGGCATCGTATGGGTTTTTTTGATCGCAGAGATTATACTCGTTCTTATCGTTTCTTCCAAATTATTTATGTCTTTTTCTTTTAGCTGTTCCATTGGCTCTAGACTAGACTCAAGATATTTCTGGTAGTTGGTACTGTTTTGCCCAAGCTCTTTAGTAGTTAGGGTTCGTTTTTGCAAGATTAGTTTGTTTCTTTCTAATTTGTTATCGATTATTATTTTTGCTCTTACTAATCTATGATCACTTCCCAGACTGAATCTGTTGAGCACCGCTACATCTTTTATTATCTGTTTCTGGTTGACTAATATGTAATCGATTTCATTTTTGGTTTTCCCGTCTGGGCTTATCCAGGTCCACCGTCTATTATCTGGTTTACTAAAAAATGTATTCATACAAAATAGATTTTGTTCCTGTGTGTATGTTAGTAACCGTTCTCCTCTTTCATTTGTAGTTCCTAGCCCATATATTCCTCTATTTGGTATGTTGCCGGTGTTGTGCTTCCCTACTTTGGCGTTAAAGTCTCCCATGATTATTTTAAAATGAGCTCTTTCTGTCATTGCTTTAGAAATATCTTCATAGAATTTCTCTATTTCTTCATCTGTGGATTGACTAGTGGGAGCGTATACTTGAATTATTTGGATGCTGTACCTTTCTGATAGTTTAAGAACGATGTAAATGACCCTCTCCGAGATTGCAGCAGATTTTGTGACCAGATGTTTGAGTCTTTTGTGGATCAATAGTGCTACACCGCCGACATGTGTATTGTACTCATTATGGAATTGGTAGAACATGTGTCCAGAATGGAGTATTGTACATTGTTCTCCTGGCAGTCTCGTTTCGCTTAGACCAAGGACATCCCACTTGATCTTAGTTAGTTCTTCTTCCAGTTCTTCCATTCGTTCGGGTGATTTGAGGGTTCTGGCATTGAAACTAGCAATATAGATATGTTGCTTTCGGTGTTTTAATGAGTTTTTGCCTCCCCCAGATTCCATGAGGCTGACCTCCTTAGAGGTGTGGGATTGAGCACCCACCTGGGGACCAAATCCTCTTGTTTTAAAACTCATTTGGGGTGAGTTAGCCATAACTCGCCACGCTGGCAAGACGGGTTGGCGAGTGTGGTGGGGATATAGGGAAGGAATTTGGGGTTTGGAATTTCATGGAATGGAGGTTTGCATGGAATGTCAGACCATTAATAATATTGAATTATAACCAGTACGTGACAAAAAACGATGTAGAACATGTTGTATGGATAAAATTTGAAAAAACACAATTTACGAGTGTGCTGATTGTGACAAAAAAACCTGGACTATGCCTAGGATATTGTTTTCGCAAATACCATTCAACCAACAGATAGATTGCATCCAGTATATTAGTTTAAATAAAATTTTTATTTTCTAAAGACCTTTTAATTGTTAGCTGATGAAGCTAGGATGCTGGTTGAAAAAGCCAATTTGGAAAAAATAGAATTAGAAAAAAAATTATCTTCCAAAACAGTCGATTAATTATGTGTGTTTTTTCATTTTTTTATTAGTTTAATTTCGGTAAGGCTATTATTATTTTACTCATATTTATATGTGTAAGTTATTATTACTTGTAATTACATTTACAGTTTATTATTACTCTTATTTTATACACATTCATATGTTACTCGTACATACATTTATTTTTATTGATTTGTTTTTAGTTTATTGATATGGGAAAGTGATAGGTTTTTAAGGAATTTTGAGTAGTATTTAGCAGGAAAATTTGAAATTTTAAAAAGGGAGAATTGTAGATATTTATTTATTACTTCAACACGGCTAAGTGAAAGAGCGCCAAACGGTGTAACATAAAATTGAAATCAATTAAAATGTTATTCAATAAGTCTTCTTCGTACAATATGTCCAATATTTTGAGCTTGATTCGGTATGTGAGGTTCATTATCATCCAGTTCTTTTTCCACATTATCTTGTTCATCATTTACATCATTCACTTTGATCCCAATATTGTGAAGAACTGCACATGCCACAATTATTTCTGGAACTCTTTCCAATTTATTATTTAAACCGACTCAAACAACAAAATCTTTATTTCCACAATCCAAACAATCTCTCAATGGTATTTCTCGTTCTAATATGAGATCTGTTATACCTTACTTCCTGTTCAATTCCAGGATTTAAAAGAGGCGTCATTAAATAAGGTAAACAAGCATAGCCACTATCTCCAAGAAGAAATCCTTTTAAACTGCCATTCTCGAAACGGTGTTTCACTGAACTATTATTGAAGATCATCGAATCATGTACTCTTCCAGGCCAACGAGCTACAACATCGAAAATTTCCTAAATTGGGTCCACCCACTACTTGGACGTTTATTGAAAAATATCTTTTCCTGTTTCTATATACCTCGCCCATATTCCCTCCAGGACTTTTTATTGGTATGTGAGTACAGTCTATACACCCTGTTACTTTGGGAAAATTGGCAATATCGTAAAACAGCCTTTGGTTCTTTCTTTGGTTTTCGAGACCTTCAGGAAATTTTATATATGTGGGTAATATCTGAGCAAGTAGGCGGGAAATTTTAAAAATGTATCTCGAAACCGTGGGTTGTGAAAATCCTCCAGTTACAATCTAAAAATTCAATTAAAATTAACTATACTACGATCTACCATATATAATATTAAAAAATATATACATATATCATGTTCTGAAAATATATTCTTTAATTTATCCTACCTGAAAATTTCCAGTAGCATAAAATCTCAAGGCAACTAATAGACATAAAATGGGTGGAAACGGTAATCCACGTCGAATAATTTTCACCATTTCATTATATATTACTGGCAACATTATTTCAATAACTGTTTGTTTTCGAAATCTATACCTTTTTCTAAATTCATTATCATTATAAAAGTGTAATGGATTTTGCATGTCCCTTGTATATCTTCTGGGTACTTGTAATATATCATTTTGTTCATTTATTTCTTGGATAACTACATAATATTGATGTAAATCGTCCATTGCAAGCGTATTTCAAATTGACGGGCGAATCGCCAGAGCATGCATAAACCTTCTCTGGCGAAACTTCGAAAATATCTAAACAGGGCATGCGTCATTCGAGTGTGAGATCACTGTGAAAGCGACTGGCGCGTATCCAGCGAAATGCCAGCGACTGTTCGCAGAAAGATGCTTTACGCTTGCGTCAACCAGACTGTAGGTCGACTATGAAACACAGATATGGTGGTGAACAGCCAGCGACGCGCTGGAGACCGACTATGAATACGAGTGTTAGTGTCTCTAAACCGACGCTACACACGATTTACAACGCTTTGGACACCCAGTTGGTCAGCAAGTTGACCAGGTTGTCGCATACCAGCTTGAAGGAGGCCTACGGCTCTATTCATCTCGTCCAACGTTAAATGGTAAAAAGACAATATCTTTAACTCACCTATTAAGCAAGAATGGTATAAAGTGACTAAAATTAAAAATAAACAAAACATAAAAATGTCGATTTTTTTGTCCCTTATAAAAAACATTCTAAAACACATATTGCTATTCAGTTTTCAATTTTTTTTTATAAGAAGTGAGTGTCTGTATCAACAATTATAGTACAAGCAAACTTATATGGTCGTCAAATTTCTGTCATTGGTATTGTCAAATTATTAAAATATCCTTAGACTTTTGCGTTGTGTAAATCATATGCATGCACATCACTCTCTTTGAAGACCAATTGCCTTTTTTATATAAAATTTGGATTCACAATTCGAATTTTGCACATCACTAAAAGCCATAAATTTTGAAGTTTCATATATATAATGTCCGGTTCATAGCGTCCTGCATCTTTCAGTTCTGTCTCCAGTCAAATCTATACATATTCGTAATGTACACAGAATTCTCTCAATTTTCAATTTATATAAAGCAATATGGGTAAATATTTGTCTCTTTCGAGATTAATTGCAAACATCTGACAACTGCTGATTTGACGATTGCATTCTATCCCCTAATCTATAAAAGAGTAATTAATAAAAAAATGTCTAGTAATTAACTGCAATTTATCTCAAAAGAAACAAATATTTACTCATTATTGTTTTATATAAATCAAAAATTGCAGAATTCATAGAAGTAATGGATTTTGACAAGAGCTATGAGTCATGCCGATTTAGTACACAAGTTTACCTGTTATTTTCAAGGTCATAGCTCTTGTTAAAATCCATTACCTATAACATAATATAAACAAAATATATTTTTCTAAAGCTTTATCTTTTTATATTTGAAGCATACAGCATTTACATTATAACAACATGCCAACACTGCTATACTAAATTTTTTTGTTCCACAGTTTGTTTGACATTTGCGGCTATAATCAGCTTGTACTTTCGGTAAACTCAACTGCGAGGTTCAAAGCTGGCCGACTTTAAGGACCACGGATTGAAGTTTTGTGAACGATTCCATTGAAAGGTAATCTCTATTTAAATTTGTAACATTAAAACTTTAAAGTATATTCTTTAAAATGACGCTAATTGATTGTTATAAACAAAGCTGCTGTCAATTGGTCAATTAATTACTATTAAACTGGGAATAAGCCACAATTAAAGATAAAAATACGTTTATTGACGTTTCAATTTCCACTTCGGAAATCGTTCTCAAAATACAAACAGTAAATTGAGAATTTATTGACAATTTACTGTTTGTATTTTGAGAACGATTTCCGAAGTGGAAATTGAAACGTCAATAAACGTATTTTTATCTTTAATTGTGGCTTATTCCCAGTTTAATAGTAATTAATTTACAATGCCACAAGAAAATAGCTTCAGAACAATATTAATTGGTCAATTGTTTAAAAAAAGGACTAACTTCGTGCCACACAACAAGTGTTCTAAGACAACTTTTACTTTTTTTAGAATTCGTAAAAAATGCAAGCTTAAGAAATACAAAAAAACAATTTTGGTGTAGGTCTGGTTTAAGTATATTTAGACATTTTATTAATATATAAAAAAAATGACGCAAGGAATGAGCAGCTTTTTGTATTAACTTGCTTACTACTTTTCAGCAAACAAATCACGCCCATGGAATTTTCATGATTTTTCGAAGAGTTTACACAATGCAGCTGATGAGCTGGTGCTTATTCACTTATACCCCCTTCTCGCGTACTTTGCAAATATATAGGCACAGGATACAAATTCAGTAGTCAGATAATCAATTCAACTCACAAATTAGTAATAAGAACGTATGTACAATATTAACCATTATAAAATTTAAAGTTCAAAAAAGTAAACTTACCTTTTTTTTCTTCAGTAAATTCAATAAAATGGGACGGTAAATTTTGATGTGGTACCATCGCTTTAATTTCCTCTATTGTCATTCTATGCAAAATGACAACTAGTTGTCGTTTGAAGTCAGGAATAAAACATTTCGCTTGTTTAAAGTCAACTAAAATATTAAAAAAATATATTACTACATTTGAAAAATTATAAGTCACATACAATAATATAATATACCGCCCATCGCTTTACTTAGCTCATTTTATAAGCTCCTCGAAAGACTGATCTTCACCAGAATTATCTCAAAACTACTTCAAGAAATACCAATTGAAAAATAAGGATTCAGACCACCAAGTACCTCTAACTACTCACATAGAGACAGATTACCAACGATAGTTGAAGACCTCTGTGGCAGTAATTAACTTTTCTAAGTTCCTCAAAATAGTAAATAGAAAATATGTCTTCTGCAAAGCAAACGCTAGACTATTAAATAATATACTGGACGGTAGAAACTTTTGTGTAACGACGGAAAATACATTAAGCAAACACAGAACTAAAAACAAGATCCTCCTCTAAAAAATTGGATAAGCAGATGACTGGGCAATTGCAACTCAAAACTCTTCGATCCAAAACTTTGAAGAAATTCAAATGGATGAATTGTAATGGTTAAGTACTTTTAACAATTGGGACTTAATCCTAATCCTAATCAAAGGTTAGCTGTTTACCCTTAAGCAATAAAATGATCCACAAACAACTTAATGTGTACATTGACAACTAACTGCTCACGTACAATTATAGCCCCAAATACCTAAGCATCATACTGGATTGCTTAATAAACACCTGAAGAACACGCTAAGCAGCAAGCAGCTAAGAACCCGCAACAATATCATACATAAGCTCTGCAAGATAACATGGGGATCATAAGCAGGTACATTTTAGTGCTCAGCTCTGGGACTTTATACTGCACGGCTGAATACTATTCTTCTATATAGGAGAATAAAGATCACAAAGAATTATAGATATCCAGCTTAATACTACCTTATATCTAATATCTGGAACGATTAAGTCTACACCAACAGAACAAATGCCACTGCTGAGCTACATACCGTCTCCTGATATCCGTGTCTAACATGCTTTGCTCAGAGATTTCCAAAAAATACTTAACAATCCGAAATTTCCAATACACAGAGGCATCACTGATGCCAACTCACATCGCTTGCGCTCCAGAATAAACTTCAATTCCAATCATATCCAAATGATCTTCCAGTGGAAGAACATGCAGGATTACAAATGGGACAAAGAGTTTGCACACACTTCCTTCACAAATGAAAGATGAGAATCTCTGCTGAATACGATTGTGGTATAGAGAGACAGACTATCCAGCATATAATTGCTGAATTTCCTTTTAGGGAATATACTGCGAGATCTGGAATTTGTCTACGCGACACCAGCGTTGATTAAATACTAAATGATTTAGATATTAAATTGTAATATGTCTATTATTACTTAATATTTAACTAAATTCACTGTCAAAAATCCAATTTATATCGTTTATCTGCGTAGAGCTGATAGTTCAACAATATGATCAGTGTATTTTGTCACTCTTATTCCTTTCACTTCTAGATAGAGTATAGAAATAAAACAAAGTTCCTCTATTGTTCCCTACCAGTAAGTACCTTAATGCCAAATATTGTTTAACTTTCTCTTTTCCTTGTGAAGAATTTTCCGCCAGATATTCCGTGATCGTACTTTTCCCTGAAGGTTCTAGTGATGGGCCTGTCTGGATCTTCTCTGGCTGTTCTGTTCTTTGCCTTTCAGGATTTATTCATCGGAAACTACCGTGTCCTCTACCACAGCTCCGAAGTTCTGATCTAGCCCAACACTTATTGGGAAAATATTCTAGGCCAAAGGCAAACAAAAAGGTCATTAGAATTTGATTATCGTTACGCAAAAATATTGTTATTGCTTCGGAAGACTGAATTCAGGATAATCAAAGGTATTTTCAATAAATAAATTATTTAAAATGTATGAGTTTTTAACCTTTCCTTCCATTTTAACACATTAGCAGCTACTGAGCGATCTTAAAGAATCTACGTGATTGGTATCAATGCAGATCGATTGATTTGTTTAGAGCAGCAAGTTTTAAAATAAAAATAGCCATTATGATTGCCAACCTCTGTAGGGAGACGGAACTCTAAGAAGAAGAAGAGCGATCTTATCTTCATAATCTAAGATGTGAACAATTAATTTAATCACCTGTTCGAATTAATAATACACTCATGAAGAAAGATTACAGATATGTGATGTTTTCTGTATGCTCATTGCATTTATTTATACAGTGTAGGTAAAATTTTAAGGTCGGTATGGTAAAATTTAACAGGATATCTAACGCAGATATAAAATCATATTTTCAATGAATTAGACAAAGATAACAATCATATTTCCCCTTCGTCTCCCCTCCTAAAATCCTTTTAACACTCATTGGCCATTGCCCATTAGTGAGACGATTAGTTCCGATCAGATATTCTCTGGTTCCGATCCTAATATACCTAAAAAACTAGAGGTGGGTCTTCTCGTTTTTTTAATTTTTATCGGAACAGTTTTTCGTAAACTGTAACTAGTTGATTGTTTACCAGTATTCAAATTAGCGAGTACACAAACATATTAGCTATTATCGTTTATGTGTATAAGTATTGAAATAAAGGAACCTAACGAAGGATATATTTATTATAACTTGAAAAATAAATTAAATAATACAAATGGTACTTAAATAGTTACATTTACATTACACATTATTAAATCGCGAATCGTCTAAATTGACATTTAAAAACATAAGTTTTTCCACTTTTCTTGTTAATCGCGTTCTTCTTTTATTTAAAATTATACCAGATGTTAAACATGTGTTCACAAGGAAAAGATTTTGTTACAATACTACAACATTTTATGAATATAGTGGTTAAGTTACGATATACATGGCGATGGTTTTTTCACCACGGTAATGGACAGTTCCAATCTCCGTTCGAAATTGTTTGTGGGTAATATATCATCAGACAATTACATGTCGACTTCTTTTATACCTCTCGATACAGGTGTATGTTTAGATGAGTCATGTCCAATTAATTCATCAAAAATACACCATGGACTTAAGTCATCTTTATTAGTTTCTTTTTCTTGGACTGATTGATTTTCAAGATTTACTAAACTTTTCGTTTCATCCGTTTTCCATAGTTAAAGAACCATCTTTTAAAAAGTTTGCAGGGTGGATTCCTGGATATAAACCGCCAACAAGAAAAACTTTGTCAGGTTCATTACTTCAGGAATGTTATGTCAAAAGTGAGCAAATTATTAGATCGCAAGTTGTTAAAGAAGTAGAAAATATCTGTATTACTACTGACCTCTGGACATCTGGAGTAACTGAGAGTTACTTCGCATTAACAGGACAATATTTAACACAGGACAATAGTTTTTATGTCAATTTAGACTATTCGCGATTTAATAATAACGTGTAATGTAAATGTAAGTCCGATTTACTATTTGTATTGTTTAGTTTAGAACAGAATATTTAAAACAGAATATTTAAAAATTGGAGGAAATACCACAGATCTGAGGCTTGAAAACGCAGTCATAAAAGGCTGCAACCAGTATAAATATCTAGGAAGCATCATATCAGCAGATGGCAGAGTTAAGATAGATGTACAAAACCGAATAACCCAAGGGAAAAAATGCATCCGAATACTGAATTCATTACTGTGGTCTAATAAAATAAAGATGCATACCAAACTTCGCGTATACAGAGCAATTGTAGAACCAATTACCACATATGGTGCCGAACGTTGGACGATGACAAAGAATGAACGAGATAAAGTAGACGTTGTGGAAATGGATTATCTTAGAAGGTCATGTCGAGTATCGAGAATGGAAAGAATCAGGAATGAGGAAATACGAAACCGTACAGGAATTAGAGATACTCTTTCAGATAGAATACAAGGAAGGCAATTACAATGGTATGGTCACGTGATGAGAATGGAGGAGGAGCGGTGGCCAAAGAAAGCCTTAATGTATGTTCCGCCAGAAAGAAGGAAAAGGGGAAGACCACCAAATTCCTGGAGAAGAGAAATTACAAAAACAATGCAATCTAGAGGCTTAGAAGAGGGAGATTGGGGAGATAGGAAAAGATGGAGGCTGAAATGCGGGAAGCGGCAATCGCCGTAGGACCCCCGTTATATGATGATGATGATTGTTTAGTTTATTTTTCAAGTTATAATAAATATATCATTAGGTTGTTTCTTTCACTTCAAAAGATATTATACACATAAACGATAATAGCCGTTATGTTTGTTTATGTAGGTACTATCTTACTTGAAACTACTTTTAAACAATCATAGTTACTTGTTTATGAAAATTAAAATTTTTAAATGCTTTTTAGCATTCAAAAAAATTTAAATTTGTTTGGAATCCTGAGAAAACTAACAAATATTTTTGAAAAATTTAAATGCAGAATGAAAGATTACATTATTACCGAGGGCCGAAAGTCCCTTAGAATAAACAAAAAGTTTTTTTAATGAGATATTTGAAATTAAAAATCACACTAAATTTTGTTTTTTTTTTCATCCCTATAACTTATTAAAATAAACATTATAGAAGTTTTCAGGGACTTTCAGCTCTCGGTAATAATGTATTGTTTCATTCTGCGTTTAATTTTTTCAAAAATATTTATTAGTTTTCTCAGGATTCGAAAAAAATGAATGCATTTAAAAAACATTGCCCCGAAATTTTGCACCTACGCTCTTAACGATAAACTAGCACGACCCACCTCTACTTCTCGTTACACGATCTTTTGACCAGACGACTATCTAGACTAGACGTTGCCAAATAAATTAGTGTATGAATATTTTTTAATTTGGCGTTATTGTATGCATGTTTAATTGTTTATTATTTCATATTGGGAAATTATTTTGATGTTTAGATTTTTAGTTCGGAAATCGTACTTAAAATACGAAACATTAATAAATTTTATTTATATAAAACGATTTCCGAAATGGAAATCAAAATGTTATATTACAATTATTGTAAAGAAAACTTGTGGCATATTCCCAATAAAAAAAACAGTAACCTGCCATTTAAATCAATTTCGCCCAAATTTGATTATCTTGAGCATTTTATCTTCTTGATAGAACATTGTTCAAATGCAAAAAAAGACAACAGGTCAAATAAAACCAATAAGTTTGGCAACGTTGAATTTCCCCTTTTTTAATATTTCCATTCGGCGATATAAAGGGCGTACCTAATATACCTCTCTCTTTTTAAACAGCTGTTTCTCACTCCATCTCACGTAAGGTCCATACCGACCATAAAATTTTTCCTACACTGTAGATCATACAATGAGTTTCAACCCCACTCCAAGTAACAGCAATTGCACCATGTTTATGTATAACCCAATACTATTATAACTGCAATACAAGTTGCAATAACATTTACCTTTTTGTTTTCTCTTTATACTCGACAATTGTTTGGTTTTTAATTTTGGACGTGGACGTTTGAATGCGTTTCCGATCTGGGATTCACCTACAACAAAGAACGTTTAGTTGTAACATACAAAATCAACAACTCAAAATCATGAACTCAAAAAGAATGTATAAGTCTAGATTAAGTAAATCACAGAATAATAGTATTTGATACATTGATTATACAGTTAATAAAATTACTTAACTTAAAAAAATGTACAAAGATAAAGTTTAGAATAAAATTTTTAGGTAGTATTAGTCAACGGTTATTTTAACGCATAACTTTGTTGTACTTATCTTTTAAGCATTCGTTATATTGGATTATTAAATTTTCAGGTATTCTACTACTAAAAGGTACTCTTACTGTACGTCGGTAAGATGCACCGTTTTCTAGAAAACTAGATTTGATAATTTTTCGTTTTTTCGCCATGAAAGTTACTTTAATTAATTATCTTTTGTTTCAATAAATGCAGCATACAATTCGTAAAAAAGTTTGAGAAAACAAGCAAAAAATCAAATTGAAACAAAATTTTATTTAAAGGTTTTTAAAAACAAAGTATTTATTACGATAGAACGAAACTAACACAAAAGAACAAGTATCAAAAGTATCATTTACAATGTGTTTATGTGAGTTACTTCGATAGAAAAACAACTGAATCCCCAAGTTGCCAGCTTTCATCGACGATCGCTGTTTTAGGGAGGTTTAACGATTACATACTAACCTAAAATTATTTTTTGTAATTAACCCAAATATCAATAATAATCATATTCCTACATTAACGTGATACATATTATAAATAGGTATTTCTTTATTGTGGAGTGTAGGGTTGTGTTATGGAGGTAGTACCTTTTATTGGAACGACCACATCGAGCGTCATAGACAGGATATGGTTCTCATATGGATAATTGGTCCTCATAAGACACCTAACTCTCAGTTATAGCTCCACGTGCCACGCCACGGGCAACTGCATTGGTCTGCAGGCTAAACTAGGGCATTGGTCTGCAGGCTAAACTAAGTAAGGGTAGCCAGACATGGCGAAAAATTTCACCGAGTGATTGCCGGTATAAGCTGTCCCCCACTTACTGACCAACGGCTTCGGGCGTAGGAGTTGGTAAGTGGTACCTTTTTGTCCTGGGGTTGAGAAATCCCCGCGGGCTCTGGGCTCTGCAATTGTGGTTTTGCTTGGCCCGTCGTTCGCCAGACGTAATTGGCTGAAGAGTTAGCGGATAGTTTTCCAAACCTACTCCAAGCGGCTTCTTCAGTTTTATTTGCGTTTGGGTGAACGTCGTGTTTCATCCTTTCCACAAAAATCGTCCTAGCACAGACCTCCTCGTGGTAGAGCCGGGAATCCATACTCGTTTAATCGGAAATACAGGCACTTTTTAGAGCACGTACTCCGATTGACGAGTAGTGATTGCTGATTGTGCAGGGTGTGTCCGACTGGTAGTGTGCGCCATATTCGAGCTTTGGCTGATCCTCTTAGGATCCTTGAGTCCACGCACCAGTGTAGTTACTAACCGGTCGGATTCTTTCGAACTCCTTCAAGGCTACACACCCTTCCAGACTCCTGGAAGCTTTAGTTTTAGAGTAGCGTAGGTCCCAAATATCTAAGTGGCGGGTAAGTTTTTCTTCCTACTCGTCTAGCTACTCTACCACCATCGAACGTGATGGTCATCGAGCGGATGAACAAAAATTTGCATAAAGATGTAGAAGGTAAGGGGAAACCACTACATTAAAGATCCTTACGGATATCCCTGGAATAATTATCTTATATGTCGGACATATAAGATCCTCTAATAAGAAAACAATTTTGTCTGACATATAAGATCCTCAACAAGAAATAAAATGCCGTACCGAACAAGCAAGACAAGCTTTTATCAAATTTAAAACGCTACTATGTAACAGCATGGTTAAATGCTATGTATGGTCCATATTGTTATAAGGCATGGAAACATGGACGTTAAGAGTACCTTCCATTAATAAGTTGGAGGCCTTCGAAATGTGGACGTTGCGAAGAATGTTCCGCTTACCATGGAAAGATAGGGTGAGAAACGAAGAAGTCTTAAGAAAGGCAAATTCTGAGAGAGAACTACTCAATTTGATCAATATACGAAAAATTGGATACCTCGGCCATATTCTGAGACGAAAAAAATACGCAATCCCCCAACTAATCATCCAGGGAAAGATTGGAGGCAAGGGAGGAATAGGTCGCAAACAAATGTTGTGGCTACGAAACATAAAGAACTGGACAAGCAAAAATAACACTGGCGATCTTTTGCATGCCGCAAAAGACAGACGTCTGGCCTTAAGATAATTCACCAACGTACTATAGGTGCACGGCACTATAAGAAGAAGAAGATTTCTTTATTACAAGTAGCTTTGTCTTAACTCCTTACGACATTTTTCGAATGTCATTAGAGGACCTACAGTAGCGCTGAAACATCACTATTACTTATACTAGGAGTCGACTACCTATAAATGATTCTCGATTATAGATAAGATTGTCTCTCCAAGGTTAAACCTTTATCAAAACCCGAAATTATTGAAGCGTAAGATGGTCTCTCCAAGGTTTAACCTTTATCAAAACCAAAAATTCTTGAATCGAAATCGTGTACCTTATTGTTCCCTTGTGTTATTGGAAATGACAAACATTCGATAAAATTTAAGAACATAAAAACAACATTGTTTCAACAACAAGTTCTTTGCTTGCCGGTATCAAACTGTCTACTGCACTAGACTCCAGTAAATTAAATTCCAAGATGTACCATAAAATTAATTTAAATCTAATATCCGAGGAATATGATAATGTTTAATGTGTAGGAGGTAAATAGCACTAAAAACTAATTAATTCCCTTAGATTTGTATTTAGATACTCTTAGTTCCATAAAAAAATATCCTGGTAAAATCTATGTCAATGGATTGAGATGATCAGGAGTACCAAGGTAACTTCAGATACCCAAAATGTCAGCTATACAGACTATACACAGAATCTTACGTGAATCGACGAATTAAATGAATATATTCATATATTCGACGACGAATTAATATATTACATTTATCACTACATTCTTTTCAATAATCAATTATCATTACAGCATTTTTTTACAAAAATTAGGCCACCGTCTTTTACAGTACATTTTTTGGAAAAGAAGGTTTTGTCAGGAAAATACGACACAACAAAATGTAAGTTTGTAAGCGCATAAACTCTAGTGCAACTAAAAAAAGCGAAGGAAATTAACTGTACAGTCTGAAAATAGTATTATCTGTGATATACATGTCGGAAGTGTAACACAGAATATACACTGATCAGTGCGTTAGGACTCGGTAAAATAACACAAAAGATGGAAGACATATTAAATTGTGAGATAGTACGAAATAAAGCTAGTTATTATACATGGCTAGTTGACTTCAGTCATAATTAGACGTATGACGTCGAAAACATTTTATTTTAATTTCCCCTGTTTGCATAAATTAAGACAGATGCAAGTAAAAAACATATTAGTAGCTATTTTAATTATAAATTAAACTAATCATAAAAATAACTCAACTAAAATATTTTACTAAACTGAAAGTTACGTTCTGGCCGAAAACAATTATTTTGTGTGGAGTTGGTAAAATGGTTAAAGATCTATTGACCAACAGATTAGGGTTCCATTTTTACCAAAGATTCCCTTTTTTTTTGGACTTAAAATTAAAAAATAGTAGAAATTAATATTTGGAACTTATTATCTATCCAGTTACTTATTTATTACCAAAAACCAGAATCTATAATGCAGCAATTGGACCTATATTAAAATACACAGCGGAGACAAGACCAGACATATCTAAAACGAGACGACTGCTAGAAACAACAGAGATAAAAATACTCCGACGAATATCAGGGAGAAGCCTATTGGATAGGGAGAGAAGCGAAAACATAATAAGAGCATGCAATATAGAAGACATAAACGGATGGGTGACAAAATGAAAACAGGAGTGGAAAGAACATATCAGTAGAATCGCAGAGGATAGAATAGTACGAATAGCACGAGATAAGTCACCAAATGGACGAAGAAGTATTGGGAGACCAAGAAAAAGATGGTGCGACAATTTAGGAGGCTAATATTGAAGAAGAAACAGGCTTTAAAGCATACATACTAGAAGGAAGAAGAAGTTTTGAATGCAAAATAATCCGGTGAAGACTGTTCAAAAAGTCCGTTAATAAAGTGGTACGTGCGAGCAGGATACCAGCTGCGGCAGCAAAACATCAAACGATCAAACACATCGAGAAGTATTTTTGCACGGTAAACAGAAACTTTTTGTTGAAAAAACAATTTGTGAAAATGGCTTTAACGGTAGAGGAAAAAGTGAAAATTGTTGTCTGGTATGTGAATAGATTGTCAAACGACATGATTAAACAACAAATTGTAAATATGTTTCTAAACAAGCCGACACCTGCACGATCAATGATTCAGTCTATTGTACGTAATTTTTTAAACCGTGGATCCGTGTCCGCTCCACTCCAATAGGAGTTCGTAGATGTTCGTTAATGTTCGACGTCCTACCTACAGTTTATGACTGAAGTCAACTGGCTAATGAGCTAACGTCTAAATGTGGGGAACTATCGATAGTGGTAATGTAATGTAAATTATAAGTTTCTATCGATAATTTTCCACCTCTAGTAGTTACCTGTTTGTTCCATTTTTTCTTCGGTTGCAGTTTCTATTTGTTCGGGAACAATTTCCGTTTTGACGTTTTCGAGATTTTGACCTAAAATTTAATAATATATTCTGTTATCAAAAGCACACCAATGAATACTAATGAAGTTAAATGAAATTTGAAAGGTCTACACGCATTGTAAAAAGGATTTATTAGTTACAAGTTAGTTCTATAGATAGATAAATGTTTTAGCGAATTTATTAAAATAAATAATAAATTTGTAGTATTAAAATTTGTTGTAAAATTCATATAATAAAATTTATTTAAATAAAAAAGAAAACGGACCAAGAAAAAGATGGTGCGACAATTTAGGAGGCTAATATTGAAGAAGTAACAGGCTTTAAAGCCTACATACTAGCAGGAAGAAGAAGAAGTTTTGAATACAAAATAATCCGGTGAAGACTGTTTAAATTCTCAGTGTTAATATCAATTCCAGGAACACTGGAGTTGTCAACACGACCCGTTTATGAAGTGGTGCGTACGAGCAGGATACCAGCTGCGGCAGCAAAACATCAAACGATCAAACACATCGAGAAGTGTTTTTGCACAGTAAACAGAAACTTTTTGTTGAAAAAACAATTGGTGAAAATGGTTTTAACGGTAGAGGAAAAAGTGCAAATTGTTGTCTGGTATGTGAATAGATTGTCAGACAACATGATTAAACAACAAATTGTAAATATGTTTCTAAACAAGCCGACACCTGCACGATCAATGATTCAGTCTATTGTACGAAATTTTTTAAAACGTGGATCCGTGTCCGCTCCACTCCAATAGGAGTTCGTAGATGTTCGTTAATGTTAGACGTCCTACCTACAGTTTATGACTGAAGTCAACTGGCTAATGAGCTAACGTCTAAATGTGGGGAACTATCGATAGTGGTAATGTAATGTAAATTATAAGTTTATATCGATAATTTTCCACCTCTACTAGTTACCTGTCTGTTCTATTTTTTCTTCAGTTGCAGTTTCTATTTTTTCGGGAACAATTTCCGTTTTGACGTTTTCGAGATTGTGACCTAAAATTTAATAATATATTTTGTTATAAAAGGCACACCAATGAATACTAATCAAGTTAAATGCAATTTCAAAGGTATACACACATTGGAAAAGTATTTATTAGTTAATTCTATAGATCGATAAATGGTTTCGTCAATTTATTAAAATAAATAATAAATTTGTAGTGTTCAAATGTGTTGTAATATTCATATAATAAAATTAATTTAAATAAAAAAAGCGCATTTCTTTCGTACTGCTTTTAAAACAAGCATGTTAAAGTACCCGTGAATACATAATTAAGATAGAAAGAAATACCAAAGAAAGTATAGTAATTGAAAAAAAAAATTCGAAAATAAAGAAATTAGTGCATTAATTACCAAGTCAATTTTTGTAATATCTATTATTATGATATCTGTACGAAAAGAAAGCGGCCATTATGGAGTACGTGTAAGGGATACACGCTATAAATCCTTTCAAGACAATTAATATTATTTTATAAATACCTTATTAACAGCTGGTGCTATACCTACAATAATTTATTTGTAATAAATACTCTTGTAACGATGTGCATCGGCAGCTATCACCGTCAGATTACCTCAGATTGACAACGCTATAAAACAACGTACGCTGCAAGTCAGAATCGAGTTCCACCTCCACCAGACTACTAATCTACGAACAATTCCACTGGCCCTAGGACATTGATCGAAGGCCAACATATTCTGCTCGGGTGTTGATCTAGTGGCAGTTCCCGAATACAGTATTAATGCTGTTGTATATGAGACGGAACCGTTCCGTGACCAAGTTTGATCGATTTGCTTACTTCTAAACCAGATTACTCCTTATCTTTAGCGTGTGTGTGTACTAATGCATTGTATTTTCATTTCTATTTTTATATTAAAAGTATTTATTTTTCGTAGGTATCAACAGTGGATCACAGCGGCGTCAATACCTTCGCCAGGAGTGACATTTTATTTTTATTGTACATATAACCTAGGATCTAATTTTATTTTGCTATTTATTTATTTCGAATATCCTCCTCCTCATCAGTCCTAATCCCTTTAGAATGTGGTGACACCATCAGGCCTTTACAGTTTTTTCACGATTTTCCTCCTAATGCATCTCTAAATGTTTTCGGATTTGAAATCTCCAGCCTGTTTTAATTTTGGTGCGGTATTGTTCTGTTTAGCTTCATCTTGAAGCAAACCCATAACAATTTATGATCGGATCCACATTCAGCTCTTGGTCTAGTTTCTACGTTTGTAAAACATGTCTTCCATATGTTTCTAATCAATCTGTAGTTGATTTGGTTCTTGTATTCTCAATTTAAGCTGGTCCACGACGATAAACGATGGGCATGATGTTTGAACATTGTGTTTACAACGGCCAAACTGTTTTCGGTTGCAAAATCTATTAAACGTTCGCCTCAGCTGTTTCCAATACCTATTCCACAGTTTCCTACATTTTGGATGTTATCATTTCTTGTTTCCCCTACCTTAGCGGTAAAATCGCCCATGATTATGAGTGGTTCTTTAGATGAAATATTTCGAATATATTTTTATTTAAATTAAACCTGTGTTTTACAGCTGTGTAACAGGGCTACCCATCACACTATTCAGCACATACATTTGTAGGTGTAAGCCTTAAAATATTAAAAATATTTTATTGATTATGCACCATAATAATATTGTGTTAATTAATATATTTTTTCAAGTAATCACAATCGATTGAAATCATTAGAATAAAAAGCTATTGATATTATTTGTATGGTAAACAAGTAAATATGCCTTCTTTTTCCTTTTTGTGGAAGTCCATGACAATTAAGCCGACTTTTTAATTGCGTACAATTATGAGCTTTAACGGAATTATAAATAAGTGAAGTACCATCTTTTTTTTTCTAATTATTGATCAATTGTAGAAATAATACTGCGTTCTATTTGGCAGCTGCACTTCGCTCATCAGACAAAAAGGAAAAGTCATAAGGTTCCATAAAATATAAAGACGGTATTAGATTTTTGTTTCAATACAGAGTGGCGGCAAGCTTCTTATATGTATTTCGACCTCTTTAGGTCTGTTTAGAGCGGTATAGCCACCTCTCTGGATCGGAATAATATCTATCCCGTCTTAGACAATAGTTATAAACTGTATACGGACGTAACTACGCCATCTAATAAGAAAAAGAGAAATCTTACGATTTCTACCTGGCGAAATCGAATTCAAATCTTTACCACTGTGCTTTCTAAAACTTGCAAAGCAAACAGGTTGATAAATTACTCGGTAAGGGAATCCTCATGAAAATGCAATGTGGAAGATTGCATTCCACATGCCGTTCATCATGGTCAAAATTTTTAATGAATTCAATTTCTGGAAATAAAATATAAAGACGGTACTAGATTTTTATTTCAATAGGTTTCATAAGGTTCCTTTTTAAAAACTATCATTCGTAGTCAATGTCCTATTAATATATATACCTTTCAACTTTGCTGTCAGAAGCTCTGAGAAATAAAAAGTATGTTTTCCCATATGTTGAGGATTACGTTATTCTAACAGCATGTATCACGTATGCACGATTGGATCGAGATACTGAAATAGTGTTGACTATGGCATTCCTTGACTTCTATTCCCTCGTTGATTTCCAGTTTGTTTTAATGAACATGAGGACGAACGAACACATTTAGATAAACACTAACATAAGAAAGTTGTGGTCAACAACGCCTGCAAATGTATTTGTGTAAATCTTTCCTGTGTATTATTTTCTAGGTCATTGTTAGAGAACAGTATTTCGCAATATTGTTTCCACATCGAAGCGATAGCTTCTGGGTTTGTTGAATATAATCAAAGATTTGAAAGTCCAGTGATTCCACTTTAATCTCGCAGCGGGATTGTGTCTGGGAAGATATGGATATCTAGAAGGCCTTACAGGCGTAGTTGTCCTCACGCAGGTGATTTTTTATAGTACATATCTTGACCTACGGTTACATGCTTACATACGTAAAATTGAGAAGTAATTGCTGCTCTCTAGAAGTTAGTGACAAAAACGTCGTAATAATCAACTTCATAATATATTGGTAGACTACCATGCGCTCAGTTACATCAGTTCGCCTCATTTTATCTTGAAAAGACCTAACCCCTATTCATTTCATCGTTTTATAATAAAACACAGTATTTTTGATGAATTTACTAAAAAAATCTGTAAAGTATGAATAAAACCGAAACTACTTAATTACTTAATGGAATAAAAAAACTTGTTTTCTCCTACTTTAATCAATTGATATGATAAAATACTTAATACCAAAATAATATTTTTACCTGTAGTTGTATCCGTCGTCAATTTTAGCTTTTTGACAGCGGGGTCTTCTGCATCTTCGACAGATCTTTTTAATTCTCCAGAAACTTCAACAGTTTGAGATGTTGATGAATTTGTTTCGGTGTCCAGATTTTCTTTAGATGCACTTGCAACTTCCAATTGTTGAACTTTCTCTTCCTATAAGTAAATATCAATTTATAATATTCAAATTTATATATTTTTTTGTGATCTAAGAGTACTCAAATATTGATTTTCGAAGCGGATTTTAGTGATATAACCCCTCAAGGAACCATATTAAAAATTGCCATAGTTCCGCTAATCAGAGTGTTTGGAACGTTCATTTAAATATCGGATTACTACAAATAAAATGATCTTTGTTTTAAGCACAGTAATTGTAAAAAGTAATAATTATAAGTACCTAGATTCGATATTATAACCTAATAGGGAAACTGATGAAGTTGCATGCAGTGGAATTAGGGTTGGACGAATGAAGTGGGAGGCAGCCAGTGGAGTGGTGTGTGACAGAAACATTCAAATGAGGATGAATAGAAAATTCTATAAAAGAATTATATTAAAGAAAACTAAATGCATGATCATGACTAAATCTGCACATGCAAATATCCAATTGACTATTGAAGATACTGCAATTGAGAATGTTAATAACTATAAATATTTAGGAACATGGATAACATCAGATGTAGACCAAACCAAAGAAATTAAGACACGTATTGAAATAGCACGTACATCATTTATTAAACTTAAAAAGTTTCTTTGTTGTCGGGATATAAGGTTAGAACTACGCCTGAGAATGCTTCGATGTTACGTGTTCTCTACTCTTCTTTATGGTCTGGAAGCTTGGACACTAAAACAAGTTCATCTGAATAAGCTGGCCGCCTTTGAATTTTGGTGTTACAGAAGAATCCTACGAATATCACGGATTCAAAGAATGTCAAACATGGAAGTAACTAGAAGTATAGGAAATGAGGCGGAAATAATATTAACTATTAAAAGACGAAAACTTGAGTACTTGGGACATGTGATGAGAGGGCAAAAATACGCATTATTACAACTTATTATGCAGGGCAAAATCCGAGGAAAGCGAAATGTGGGAAGACGAAGAATATCCTGGCTTAAGAACTTAAGGGAATGGTTTGAATGCAGTAGTGCAGAACTTTTTAGAGCGGCAGTCAACAGAGTCCGCATAGCCATGATGATTTCCAACCTTCGATAGAATATGGAACTTAAAGAAGAAGAAGAATAAAACAGCCAAAAGATCAAATATGATGTACGGAACCTAATATTGGACAGTTAAAAAGAAAGGGGAACAACGGATGTATGTGGAGTATATGAAAAAGCTTAGATGGATGAGTGGAGTGACAAAAAACGATGAAGTTAATATTGCGTATATTAGGGGAAGTCTGAGATTGGCATCAATTAGTGCCAAAATGAAAGAACATAGGTTAAGGTGGCTTGGACATATTCAACGTCGAGACGTTAATCATCCAAAATAAAAAATTGTTGATCTGCAGGTTCCTGGTATTAGCAGAAGAGTTACACCAAAAAAAGACCTGGGGAAACGCTTAGGGGATATTGGTATTACCATAGCCCCCGTAACAAAAGGACAGAACATTGAAATTTAGCAACAGTGAATAGAAGGCGTATTAGTGTGACCAACTCACAAGGCTAAAAATATCTAAAATCCGGGACTTTTCAATGAAAATCGGGCCATTTTTTATTTTTTTTAAACAAGGACTGTAATACCATCATTTTATTGATTATTTACCATTTTTATGTTGACAATGATATTTTTGATGGGATTAAGCCATAATTGGTTATATTAATTATATTTTTGTTAGTTTTTGACGTTTCGACTTTCAATCAGGAAATCATTCTCAAAAGAGAAAAAATTAGAAAATCAACTGATGTTGGATTTCCATGTTAATGTAAGGTTAACATACAGATACAAGGGAAGAGAAATCCAGGAAGACGCAAAATATCCTGGCTAAGAAATTTGAGAGAGTGGTTCGGTTGCAGCTCATTAGAATTATTCAGAAGCGCGGCCAATAAAATTAAAATAGCGATGATGATTTCCAACCTCCGATAGGAGAAGGAACCCGAAGAAGAAGTAAGGTTAACGTAAGAATGCATTATCATTATAACCAATTATGGGATAATCCCATAAAAAATATAATTGTTAAACATGCCACAAGAAATTTACTATTTAAATGGAAATAAGTAACAATTACAGGTTAAAATAAGTTTATTGACGTTTCAATTTCCACTGCGGAAATCGTTTTTAAAATACAAACATTACAAACGATTTCCAAAGTGGAAATTGAAACGTCAATAAACTTATTGCCTTATTTTTTAAAATTATATTTGTCTTGCGATAAAATTTGCTTTAAGCCATCTTGCTTGCCATAGAAGAATTTGCAATATTTTCCGTTCACGCCATAGTCACCGCGACGGTACACGGATATACCACAGTTACATTAAAATTCTCGGTCAAATAGACCTCGCTGGCGTGCTGAGCAATTTTTTCTCGGTCACATAGACCGAGACGCCAGGCAGTGTTAAAAAAAACTTAAAAAAGCAACACATTCATATTTCAAATTAAATTTTACGAACAAAATATTTTTTAAGGTTTCAATGCCAAGTTGCGATTTTTCGGCTGTCCATATTTATGTAATCAATGAAAAATCATCATCATCAAATTTGGATTCACCTATGATTTTAGTTTGTAGCAAACATTGTTTTGTCCACCTCGATTTTTTACCACCAAAATTAGTATTACCGCCGCAGAATAAAACTAAGTTTCTTGAGATTGTCTCCGGAGGCATGTCAGGCAGAAGCTGACCGCCGTGCCGGACGCATTTAGAAATTCGGAGAAATACTTGGAAATTCTAAGTGTGGGCAAATCCGAATTTCTAATTGGCTCGATGTAGGGAAATTCCACTTTTACTACGTAAAACAAAGGATTTGTTTTATATAAACGCAGACGGAATTTCTCTCATCGGTCAGTCGAGCTTGCCTCTTCTATTGTAGACCTAGTCGGTGCTATTATTGTTCCAACTAAGTTATTGTTTTATTTCTGATTTCCTATATACCATTTTTATTTTAGCAATATTGTATATTCAGACCTTTTCAGGTTAGAATATTACACATTTTTCATGTACTTATTGTTTGATATTTTATTTGATTATTTTGATTGATTATTTTCTTGTATTTGTATCTAAGCTGTTCTTTTCCGGTGAGTCAAAAGAACACTTAGAAGTATTTTCATATTTGCATTATTATTTCTGATACTTTTATCTAAGATATTATTTCATATTATTGACTATTTTATTTTCTATTTTTCGTTAAGTTGTTTCTTCCGTAAGTCAAGAAACACTTAGCAATATTTTCACATCTTTTCTGTATTTGATTTTCTTGTTTCCATTATAAGTTGTTCTTCCGTAAGTTAAGAAACACTTATAAATATTTGTACATCTATTTTACCATATTCTCTTGTTTATTTTCTGCTCTAAGTTGTTTCTTCCGTAAGTCAAGAAACACTTAGACATATTTCTATAATCTATTTCCCTTTTGCATTTCTTGTTTTATACTTTGAATGTTTTATTTTCTAAGCCGTTTCTTCCGTAAGTCAAGAAGCACTTAGAAATATTTCCATATTTTATTTTCACATTTGCATATTTTTCACTTTCTTTTATATTTCTGTCCTAAGTTGTTTCTTCCGTAAGTCAAGAAACACTTAGGAGCATTTATCTTGTATTATATTTTTATACCGTTTGATTTATTTTGATTTACTAAGCTATTCCTTCCGTAAGTCAAGGAATACTTAGATTATTGTACCTGTTCTGTTTTCTATCTTGGATCCGTTATTTCGTAACCGTTCCTTGGAACTGTTACCTATAACCGATACTTGTCACGGTAACTGTTACTTTATATCAGTAGCGATTATTAACCCTTTTGATAGCGACAAACAAAGATGGTCAACACCCGATCAAATTCCGGGGACAGGAAGAAGTCCGAAGAGCCGGCGATGGGTCCCACAGGCCCAAATGCCCCCTCTCGGCAACATGTCACCGCAGGGGACGTGATAAAATGGACTATCGTCAATCATCTGCCTCTGGGTGCTCTGTAGAGGGCTTCGAGAACGTCTACGAAGGCACCTCTACCCAAGTCTATTTTCTGGGTACAGACTTGTAGAAATTTCAGCTGATGTACCCGTCTTGAAAAAGACGGGTTATTTCTTACACGACGAAATAAACCATCAGGTTCTCTTCTCTCGGTGACTTGCCTTGATAAAGGCAAGTTATTTCTTACATGACCAAATGAAGGTCGAAATAAAACACCAAAGCACTGTAGAATAACTCAGCCACAGAGTAAAGGTAGGGCTAAAAGAAAAGCAGAGCCCGTGAAGGACTGACTTGATTGACCTGAAAATCGCCAATTTTTATACTTTCCGCAGTAGCGATTAGGGATTTCCAGGTCAGGGAGGGGCCAACGGGAAAAATAAGGGGCGGGGCGATGCGTCTCGAACGTGAACTAGTCGCGTCCGAGAACAAGATGTTGTACTTTTATATAATATCAGATGTTTACCAATCTTCAGCCGTAAAATTCAATATTTTCGTCTTCATGCCTTCTAATGGAACGAAATATCTCACACAACCGGGAACATCTTTACGTTTCTATGGTTAGATGTATCGGTAATTATACTGACGTATATTGCGTTGTTCATTGCATCAACCAATTGATTTTTGATGTACGGACCAAAGACATTTTTAACAATTGTCTCACATTTAGTACGGGCTGACTGAAAGTTGGTGAATTCAAAGTAATTCCGAAATATTTTCGATAAGCATTCAGCTGAGCGAAAGTTTTCATTTTCTTTAATCATATGATATGCTCAAACACCTTCCCGAGTGATGTCTCTAAATCAATATTGCTCGATGTTACTGTTGCTTTGAAAAATTCAGTCAATTTTTTGCTGCTTGCAATGTTTTATTAAAATTGCAATAGCGTTTTCTCTTTTTACTTTCTGGTTGTGGTTTCATATTAAAAATAGAATGGAATGAAAAATGTAAAGTCAACTAAAATGCTTCGTACATCGTAGATGATCACTAATCTATTTCAGGCTTCAAACTGATTAGTGACATAAACTAATTGTTTACATAAAATCACATTGCAACGCAGCAGATTTAGTCTTGGTTCAAAGCACCTACATAACGGTTTGGAAATGAATAATTTATTCTTCAAGAACATAGCGCGAATGAAATCAAAAAGTTTGTTTACCTACTTATAGAATGGTTGACAAAACCGAGAAAAAAAAAACAGCAATCATTACATCGTTAAATACGGCACACCTTGGTCGGCATGATTGATGTGTATACAATACATGAATTGTTATCGTTTTTGAATAATCTTTTCGGAAGAAGATAATTAAAAAAATGAAATAAAGTGCACAGTTTGAGTCTTGTTAGAATACCACGATAAAATGCATGCGTTTCGGATGTGGTATTAGTATTGCACTCTATTTGGATTTTTGACTTTTCTTCGACCCAACAATTCAATTTGATATGAATTCTTAAAAGAATAACATATTTAAAATTTCAAAATAGAATTTTATCAAAAATTCGGATGGTCCGGAAGCCTTGTCCGGGACATGACTTAGTAATTCGGACCATGTCCCGGATTTTTCGGGCCAGTTGGTCACACTACGTATAATATATGTTTGTGTTTATTTCTACATGCATTCCTCTAACCAACACATTTGATTTTATACGAACATTTTACTCTTTTTATTTACTTTTAGTGTAACAACGATCTACATTCACTGGAGTGTTGATTAAGGTACATATACAGATACCGACATTGTTTTATTGACCATACAACACAATGGCAATCGCTGTGACATGTTACACGTTTCCACCTCTTTATTCATTTCACAGTATGTACGAATTGTCGTAATTGTCACATTGACATTAAAAATGTCAAACGAAGTTTTGAAAGAATAAACAAATAATTAATAAAATGCATATTACGTTGTCTACCATCCAAGAAAAAGTGCAACTTGCAACGTGATACTTTCAGGGTCATTCGATACGCGATGTAATAGATTTATTTATTGTTGCCTTCGAAAATAGACCCCCACCAAGTGTTACAACAGTTAAAAATACCATTAACATTTTCAAACTTCGGGATGTGTAACCAGTTGTAAAAAGTGTCATGAAGTTAATGAACCACGTCTTAGACCTGTTGATGAGGAGCGTCAAAACAGGGATATTGATATTTGTGCCTTTTGTGGAAGCTATAATAGTGTACACATTGCTAGGGAAGTTAACGTGAATGCTCAAACTGTCGAGCGAGTTCTCAAAAGGAATGGGCATCACTGTTTTAAGATACAACCAACAAAAGAACTGTTACTGGAAGATAACTTTAGTCGGATGAAGTTTAGATGTGTTAGAGATGGAATTAAATAAATCTTAAATCCTATGGTCAACAAAACATTGTCGTTATCTGTATAGTATATTATATATGTATATATAATATGTATAAACTACTAGATTATGTACTTCCAACAAAGAAGGACATATTAGTGCTTTCAAATTTCCTCGAGATGTGATATAAAGCAAATATGGCTAAAAAGTATCTCCCGAAAAAATTGGAAACCCTCACATGCTTTAGTGGTTTCTATGAAACATTTTTGTGAAGATGACATTATACTTTATGACACTTATAACTATAAACATTCTGTGTTACAAACTTTTCCAGGAACCCTATCTAGGTGTGTTACCTACTCTTAAGGAAAGTGTTGTTCCAAAAAAATTTCTAGGATTTACAAAAAATTTGACAACTACGAAAATGATAAATAAACCAGTACCATTAAAAAAAAACAATTAATTGTAGAGAGCAGTAACAAGACAAATTTCTTCAAAGTAATGTTATAGTGGATTTTTGTAGTTCATTAAGTGTAAGTTAAGTTCTTATCTAGTGAAATGAAAGTGACATCAAGAAGATAATGACATTTATTTTTATCTAATAAAATTTGAGTGCGATGCGCTAAAAATAAGGTTTAGTATTATAATTAAAGAAACAATGAAAATTCAAACAAAACAACAAAGAGTTGGCTATTACCAATAACTTCAGAACTAACTCGGTCACTAATTGAAAATATTTTATCTTGGTATTTTGAAGCAGAAAACACCAGTAATAGTTTAGAAACATTATTATCAATTTTAAATTCAAATATAAATTGCAAATATGCATTTTTTTCAAAATTTCTAAAATTTTTTAAAAATTTCAAACCAAAGTTTTTCAAAAATAAGCACTTTGAACCGGTCAATCCTACAGATCATAAAAACAATACATAATTAAAATACATTGTAAAGCAGTAATGATTAATTTTATTTGGGGTGCCAATTAGAGGGTGATTTTCACAATGTTTTTACAAAAAAATCAAAAATAAACAATAACACTTTCAAAAAGTTTTGATCAGTTTTCCCAGAAAAGTGCTTAATTCTTTGTTTCTACGAAATAACTTACTTATAAATACTTACTTTTTGAGTTATTTGTAAAAAACCCCCGAAAACGTGGTTTTTCTTTTGAAAAATGAACATTTTCTCTCGCAAATAACTCAAAAAGTACTGAATTAGTAAGAAAACTCTTGTCATCGCGTGCCTTTGTCTGTGGACCAATGAGCACGTCGATGCGCATCGCGCCGCCTTTTAGCTTCTACACAATTTAAGATTGACCAATTGACTTGAAAATGGACATATCGATATGAAAGGAAAATGTATAAAAATCGTACATTTTCCAAGCCAAGGCAGTCTAAAATGCTCCGGTTCCAACATAGAGTCTCCTATACCCTAGGAGCTCCCTTCACGGGGCTATGCTCCCCATTAAGATATTACCTAACCCACCAAATTGCAACCGAAACTCAGAGAAGAAAACTTCGATTGGACTATTCGAAGCCGTCTGTAGAGCACGTAGGGAGCAGATATGGGTTCATTCTTGCCAAGACCCAAACCTCCTTATGTTGACATTCTATGGAATAAAAGTTCCTTATAATTTGTCAATTTATCAATTTCCAGACTTATTTTGAACGTATGGTTTTTCACTACCGAGAAGGGTTGGTTTTCATTATCCAAGTAACATTTACTTAAGACTAAAAGTGAAGTAGAAGGTAACTGTCAATAACTGGAGTGAAATCCTAATTTTAAAACACAATCCATAGACGCTAATAACCCTGCGTGATTGATGTAGTAAAAAAATATATAGTTACATTTTTTATATTTGGTTAATCATCTGTAAATATCTCAGTATAATTAACACTTACTTTTTCAGCAGTGGATCCCAGTTTTCCGGTATTGGGTGGTTCGGACAGTACGTGTGATTCCTTAAGGTTAGTTATTTGAGACTGTTTTTTTACATCATCTAGTTGAGACTGTTTTACATCATCTAGTTGAGACTGTTTTACATCATCTAGTTGAGACTGTTTTACGTCATCTAGTTGAGACTGTTTTACATCATCTAGTTGAGACTGTTTTACATTAGCAGGATTAGATTCTTTCTCAGTAACTGCTGGAGAATCTTTAAAGCCAGCTGTCAGACTGTCTTCAGGTATTTTTTTGTTAAAGTATCTAAAAGACTTTTTAACCTTTTTAGTCTTTTTTCCTACTTTAGCGCTTACACCTTGTTCCTCAAGTTTACGTCTAGCTCTGGCTCTAGCGGCTTTAGATTTTCTTTTTTTTCTAGTCCTAAATTTTTTCCCTTTAGGCTCTTCCGACTGTCCGACTTCAGTGTCTGTAGATGACAGTATGAGTTCTACATCGATAGGGTCTCCGTCTCTGTCTTCGGTAAAATAATTTCTGAATTCGTCTGTAAATACTTTGTTTTTGTTTTCGAAAAATGCTATTCTTTTTTCTTTTTCGAATGTCATAGATTTTAACTTCTCGGTGCACGCTTTTTCTTTCTAAAATACGACATAAATGGAAAATTAAAGGAATTGACAATAAAAAAACAAACACATGTGTGTTGGTTTAATAGCGTTTACATTTCTTCTGTTTATACCAGTTTAAAAAAAATAGGCTATAAACTTTAAAAATTTGACTAATGGAAGTTAGAGAACAATTCAAAACAAATAGTTTAAGATTTATTAAATGTTTCTATGTCAATTTTTGACTAAGGTATGGAACTTTTAATAACGCGCTTTAAGACGAACGGTCAGCTTGCAGCGAATGAGGGCGCGCGTAAATCAATTTTCAATATCTCGGCAAAAAATTAACATTAATTGGTCCTAGCTTTCTCAAGAATCTCTCTCCAGTCGTCCCTATCCATCGCCTTTCTTCGCCAAGCACGTATTCCTATATTTCTGTCTTCATCGATGTTATCAAGGAACCTTGTTCAGGTTCTTGCTCTTCTTCTCTGACCAATGAGTCTATCAATGAGCGTTTTTCCATCTGGTTCATTTTGTTCCATCCACATTACATGTCCTGTCCACCTCAGACGTCCTATCTTAATATGTTTTACGATATCAGGTTCCTGGTATATTCTATAAAGTTCGAAGTTGTATCGTCTTTTTCACACTCCATTGTCATTCGCTGCTCCATATATTCGCCTTTGTACTTTTCTTTCGAAACATCCTAACATGTTTTCATTATTTTTTCATATCAGAGTCCAGGTATCTGAACCATATGTTAGCACTGGGCATATTATTGTTTTGTAGAGTTTTATTTTTGTATTTCTCTACGGCCAACTTCTTTGTATAGTTCAGCTGGGAGATTATCTATTCCGGGTGATTTGTTTCTGGCTAGTTTTTCAACTGCATCTTTAACTTCAAGAACCGTTGGTGGTTCCTCTTCTCTCTCGTCTGCTCCTCTTACTGTCGTCTTTCAGGTTTTCTTCTTCTTTCTCCATATTAAATGCCTGGTTAAAGTATTTCACCCATCTACTCAATACATCTTTCCTTGTTGTTAATAAGTCGCCATTCTGACTTCTGCATTGTCTTGTGGTTGCCTTGAATTCTTGTGGATGTTAACTTTCTTATAGAATGCTCTGAATTCTTTCTCTCTGTTAAGGTTTATTATATATTTAAGTTCCGTATTTAAGTGGTTTCGTTTTTGTCTTTTGTGTCTCCTCTTTTCTTCTCTTCTCTTTGTCTGGTCTGCATTTATCGTCACAACAATGATTTTTACGGGCGCAAATTTCTGTTCCTATTTCATCTTTCGCTGCTGCTTTAATATCTTCCTTTATTCTGGTCCAGTAGGAGTCTATATCTATCTGGCCTTCTTCATTTAGATTTTGATTCCCTAGCCTGTTGGTGATGTTTTCTAAGTACCGTTTGCAGTTGTCGCATCTCTCAGCTTTTGCACATTACATTTTTTTGTATCCTTTAATTTTATTTTATTTGAAACATTTACCAAAGCTTAAAATGTTAGTTTTGAATTGTTCCATAACTTCCGTTAACCAAATTGCCACCGTTTATGGCTTAATTTTGTTTAAAACTCTTATAAACAAATTAATTCACTACCTTTTACCGAAAATTTTAACTATAAACTGCTATAACTTTTTTAACTGCTTTCTTCCTATGCCGTCCCCATTAATAACGGAGGTTGGCGACCATATTTCTAAAAGTTTTTCTGTCTTTTGCAACGTGAAATAATTCGTCTACAGTCATGTTTGTCCAATCTCGAATATTTTGCAGCCATGACTTCCTCTTTCTACCTATTCCCTTTTTGCCATCGACTCTACCCTGCATGATGATTTGCAGAAGACTATAAAATATTTATCATTCCTCAGTATGTGTCCAAGGTATGCAGTCTGGCGTACTTTTATTGTTCTCAACAATTTTTTGCCTCGACCCATCCTTCTCAGCATTTCCTCATTGGTGACCCTGGCAGTCCATGGAATTGTTACGATAAATATGTCTCATAAATATTTTTAATTCTGATACGCTCTAGATTTTACCAGCTGGCAGAAATTCCAGGTAATACCTACCTGAAACGATCGATCTGCGACGATTCGAACTTTCCGGAAGCAGGAATCATTCGCCGCTCAGCTGTTCGAGACCGGCCTGTTGTGGGATTCCTTCCAAACTGGTCCCCCTCGGCTAAAAATATCAGTATGACGTGACCTTCTAGTCTTTTCGCCAAGGGTCAGGAAGATCGACGAGATTCTAGATTAATCGTGCTTTGTATATAAGAACGAGGTTTTATTGGAGTTAGTCGGAAGATAATATCGCGTCGAGTTTTAAATGTAACGCTCGTATTATAAATAAATTATGTAATTATTAGTGTGAGATAAATTAGTAAAAATAAAGACTTTAAAATAAGTTGTAAGTTACAAATATAGAACTTTTGATAATAAATAAAGACAATAAATTAGATTAATAAAAACAGTTCAGAATTCTCAACATTCTCCGGTTTATCCAAAGTTCAAAGGCTTCAATGTTCTTAAGTATTTGCACTTTTAACGTCCATGTTTCTACCCCGTACAATAGTTGAGACCAGACGTAACATTCAACAAACCTTAGTCTCAGCGCAGTATTTAGATTTTTGTCACAGAACAATTGCTTGAATTTTAAGAACGCTGCCCTTGCCATTTCTATTCGTACCCTGATCCACTGCCGGATTTAGTTCATGGACCGCCGGGGGCTAAGTCATACTATAACGCCACTCTCCAGTAGGTATAGATGAGCCTTAAGTTAACAATTCATTAAAACTTCATTAAAATCTACATCTGATGGTTTCATCCATGGTTTTCACTTGTTCTTCTTTATATATATATATATATATATATATATATATATATATATATATATATATATATATATATAATCGGTTTAAAACGTCCTCCGACGTCTTCCGATGCCCAATCTCCATGCATCTTTATCTTCCCAAAGATCTTCGTCTAAACCTCTCTCTCGGATCTCACTGTCTATTCCTTCTCTCCAGCTCTTTCTGGGTCGGCCTCTTTTTCTCTTTCCATGTGGTGACCAATCTATAATCTGTTTGGGCAGACGATGTTCTGGCATTCTCTGCACATGTCCATACCACTTTAGTTGTTGTACTCTTATATCTTCGACAATCGTATGTGTGACTCCCATAACCTCTCGTATACGGTCGTTATTAATTCTTTCGAGTTTTGATTTTCCTGCGGCCCGTCTCCAGTAGTCCATCTCCGTGGCTTGTAGTGTTCTTTCAGTAGTTGCCTTTAACTGCCACACGTCACTTCCATACATTACTATGCTCTTTATAATAGTGTTGTATATTCGATGTTTATTTTTTTTGGATATATGTTGATCCCAGATAATACTATTTAGTTGAGATATGGCCCTTCTACCCTGAGTGTTTCGTTTTTTTATAGCCTGATCTGATTTGCCGTCGTCTGTGATTTCTACTCCTAAATAGGAATATTTATTGTTGTACTTAATGCGTTGTCCGTCGTTTAAAACTAGATTTTGTTCTTTACCACCGATGTTCATGTACATTGTTTTATCTATGTTGGCTTCTAATCCCCATTTTTTGTATTCTTCGATTAATTTTCGAGTCATGTATTCTAGGTCGTCATATTCGTTAGCAATCACAATTTGATCATCAGCAAAACATAGAGTGTACAGGTTGTTATTGTTTAATTGTATACCCATGCCGCTGCATTTCCGCTTCCAGAGTTTTAATGCTTGTTCCAGATATATTTTGAAAAGTGACGGCGCTAAGCAGCATCCCTGCTTCAGTCCTTTGTCTACTACAAAACCTTTGGAAACATTCGTTCCTATTTTAACTTTGGCGTTGGCGTTCTCATATAGTTTTTCCACTGCTGTTATGAGATTTGAGTTGATGTTCGTTTGTCTGAGAGTGTTCCATAACTTATTTTGAGGGATGCTATCGTAGGCCTTTTTTAGATCAACAAACAAAAAGTGGACTTCTTGATCTACAGCAACCTTTTTTTCTATAAGTTGGGTGATACAGAAGTTGTTCTTCTTTTTAATCATCTTATAACTCTCCTTATTTCTATTTTACCTCGTACCATTCTATGATCACTACTGGTATCAAAAATAGAACCGTGGTGTTTTTAACGGTGTGTTTTTTGTCCGTGATAATAAAATCTATTTCGTTTTAAGTTTTTCCATTACGGCTTTGTCATATCCATCTTTTCTGTGGTTTCTTTAAAAAAAACTGTTCAGTTGGAATAGTTCATGTTGCAGCATGAATCTAAACAGTATTTCGCCACGTTCATTTCTCCCATCCAAGCCAAAGTTTCCCAGTGATGTTTCAGCATCAATCAACTAATAAATTAATGTCTAATAACGCTAAAACCATGAATAAACTTAATTAAATAATAAATAAGTCTATAAGACACTATTGTAGCACCTTTTGTAGCCCTGAAAGCTGAATTAGATGTTGAAAAGTAGGCACACAAACGGTGCATACAGCCCTCCTTAATAACGAATAAGTATTACACATCTCTGAACCTACACCCACCTGGATTTTACGTATGTACTGGATTTTATTCGATGCGAGCTGACCGCGCGCCTCAGAGTGCATTATTAAAAGTTTCATATCTTGGTCAAAAATTAGCATAAAAGCATTTATTAAAGTCCACAAGGAATCTACGTTATACCCCCTCTGTGGCTCAGTGGTAAGAGCGCCTGCCTTTAAACCTAAAGGTCGTGAGTTCGAATCCCACCTGGATGGAAATTTTCGTTTATTAAAAAAATTAATAAATGAAAATAATTTCTATCCTTGTGTGATCGGTACACACCGGAGGGACCGCAGACGTTCGGATACAATTAGCGTCTCTTAGCAAAGACAATGACGTCGACTTTGCTAAGTATCAAGACAATTACTCCACACACACACACACACACACACACACACACACACACACACACACACACACACACACACACACACACACACACACACACACACACACACACACACACACACACACACACACACACACACACACACA